TACTCTACACTCATCAGCAGCTCTGATAATCAACTACAAAGCATGTTCTCTGTCGTGAACACATCCAGCACAGAGCTGATGTGAAGGCAAAAATAGCTATACAAAAGATTAATGTAGCTCATTATATTCATCAACATTGATATCCATCAAGAGAAAAAAAAATGTCCAGAAACAGGTCTCATGCAAATGACTTAATCTATTAACACTGCCACTGTTTCAAAAATGACTTAAGTCATTGCAATGATTGACAGTGAAACTATAATGTACTCAAACATGGTACATCTATTAATGTTTTTTTTTTCTACTTGTCATGGATTATAACAAGTTGTTTGATAAGCAATGAAGTGTTGGGAGTTAACTGTTTAATTTAGTTCACATGCTGACTAAAGACATGCTGGTTGTACAGTGCTCACTGGTGTGGAGTGCTGTGTGCGTGTGTGTGTGTGTGTGTGTGTGTGTGTTTTGGTTGAAGAATAAGTCATTGTGTGACAATCCAGCTTTCAGTGTCTCTCCTTCTTGACTGGACCACAGCACCTGCAACTGTCCTCTCCTTACTCTCTCTTCTGCTTCCTGGTGTCTGCAATATTTTTGTCCTCATCCAGAAGTGGGACGGACACCACCCTCCTCAGTTTATGTGGTTGCATCACTGCTGCTATCTTGTGCAGAAATAATGCAGCTATGTTTCCCCCAGGGTGTTTTTAAGACAATGACAACTCATTAGGGAATATTCCTGGAGTGGGGAAAGTCCCTGTCAACTTCTCTACCATCTTAAACCATTCAAGCATCTTGAACAGCTCGGACAGACATTTACATAATGTAAGAAAAACAATCTTACAAATAGGAGCCAAAGTGTTTCAAAAGTTTGTGGAAGTATCAGTTTAAATCAAAGTGTTTACAGAGGGCATTTGTAAAAACAAGCTCACTAGCATCCCTGTTGGATGAGATTTGAGATCCTTTAAGTTAAGTACAGATAAGAGCCCATTACAAATGTCAACTCAGTAAGAGTACTTCATATTACCAGTAAAATAAAAGTATTGCTTGTTTTTTTAAAAAAGCCTTTCATTTATATACTTTAATATCATTTTGATAACCATTTGTCATTTAACTGTTAACTGTTGAACTTGATCTAAGGGTATAGGTTTATTATCAATGATTTTTTTTTGGTTAATTAATCTACTGAGGTTTATATATTTTATTTTCTGCTTGTTAAAATTCAAATACAATGAAACATATCTAAACAATGGTCCAAAAACCACTGAATTATTTTATTTGCAGTATTATTCATTTTACCAGAAGATCTGAATTCCCACACTTTGAGAGACTGACTGATATTATTGCATGAAAAATTCAACAACTTATCAGGACACCAATAATAAAAAAAAAGAAGAGGATTCAGCTTTGATTTCACTTTCTGTGAAGTTCTATCAACACTTATTATCGGGTTTTATAAGAGTCTTTTTAAATGCCCCTAGATGTAATTCCTTAACTTGGGAGAACCCTGTCAAATTGGAGGAGACAAACAAAGTACTCAAGAACAGTAAATCTACTTAAAAATGGTACCTGGAGCGCATTTTTCATTACACTATTGACAAATATGACAGTCAAGGCAACATGCAATGATTCTTTTATTTAAAGTCAAATGGCTACTCTGTGTGTGTTGTGAGGCTCATTTGCAGTTGGGTCTAAAGAGGAAAACAAAATAAGAATATTAACATCATAACCACATCCACTACAGGAACAAGTGCAGGGGGAAGATATATTTCTGTGGTATGAAGCTTTCAAACATCACCTTTGAGCTTCCATGCGCATCTTTTCTTCAATCTGTCACCTTTGAGTTTCTCGGTTTTGATTGCGTTGAGACTTGAGTTTCTTCAGTTCCTTCTTCAGCTCCAGTTTCTCAGCTTCAAGATCAGTAATCTAGGTGTTTGAAGTTTATTAAAATGCAGGATCAGTGATGTTAAGACCAAACATTATTTTAGAGGAATGCTGCCCTCTGCTGGATACTAAACCAAATAGCATTCGATAGTTATTCCTTCAGCTTCTGTGGCAAATACTGTATATTCTCTATACTATCGATGGATGCCAATATTAGAAAACATTCCACATTTGTATGCTATCTATTGTTGCTGAACACAACAAAAAAGTGAATGTCCTTACTTTTTTCTCCATGTCAAGCCTGAAGGGCTTTCTTCAAAACATAGTCCACACGGCTTTCATTAGTCATTCGACTCTCATCTCTGACCCGCGAGAGCAGCCGGTCACTCTCAGCACAGTTGATGGTCGCCTGTCTGATGAGCTCATCTTAAAGAAACAGAAAATGAGTAAATGCAACAGTAACATATTTGAGGAGAAAAATGTGCTTTCAGTGGTATACAAAAGAATGCTTCAGAAGAAAGCTGTATGGCAATGAAATTTAAGCCATGTGTCCACAAAAAACTGGTACAAATTCTTGTTCTTTCATCCTCAATCCTTGTCAACACAATAGCCTCAGTGATCACAAATATCAGAGCCTCCTTCTCACCAAAGCACTGAGAATGGAGCTCACTGCGGACAGGGCAGATTCCTGTCTGGCTGGCCTGCCTTTGTTGCAGCTTTGTGTCCAGCAGCTCCTCCAGGTGAATAACATCTCTTCTAGTAGAAGGTGCTCTGGACACTTGCTGCCTCCACAGCTCGGTTCCGTCAGTCCATTCCCTGCAATAACAGAAATTTAGATAAACTGAGTGGATTGAATTTAGGATCCCTACGCGCTGTTATCAGCAAGCTTCCAGTGTTTGTGAAGTAATGCCAGGTATCTGCTCATCTGCCTTTTGGACTGATCCAGTTCAGACACAATCACATCGTTTATTTTTTTGGTATAATAATGTTGTTTTTTTTGTTTTTTTTATATTTAGAAGTCGTTGCTAAATGTTTAGTTTACATTCTATATATTTAGCTTTGATTATAAATATTTACAATCTTAGCTAAATATATAGAATGTAAACTAAATGTTTAGAAACGTAGCTAAATATTTAGAATCAGGACATGTTTTAACATTTATATATAACATTTAACATTTAGATAAAACATTCAACATTTAGATATAATATTTAACATTTATATTTGCCAATGAAATTAGCTCACATTTTTATTCACAAAACTAAATATGACAAAGTTTACAAATATTTCTCTAAATGTGAATAAAAAGTGATGTTTTAGGGCTAAATGTGGAGAAATGTTGTTGTTATTTGTAGTGTGCGCAACTTTACGATCGGCGCCCCATACGCATCTTGCTTAACCTTTCTTTCTTTCTAATTATAATATTCGGCCTATAGACGAGAGTTTATTTAAGTAAAAAGAGTAGACTACTTACACACGATATTCTGAATACAAGAAAATATTGTGGAAAGCAGCCTAGGCCAATAGCCCAAACTTAAGTTTAATAAAATAATTGTAATGATTTTTATTTTTAATATTTCTTCCTAAAAAAGGGGGCATAACTATGAACTTTGAAGAAAAAAAGATGTCTATAGTTACCTGTACAGTAACTATAGACTCCACACTTATACACTGTATTGAAGTAGGGTATACTGTGTGGTCTTAAGGTCCTCCACTGTAGGAAAGCAGGCATATCTATTCAGTGGCTTTAGGGACTACTGTAGGAAAGTTGTGATTGAAGAAGTCTTTTTCCTTAGATTTGCAACAGGTCTTGGCTTAGTTGCTGGCTTGTGTGTGATGTTTCCTTCCACGCAAATTAACCCTGGAAAGACCCAGGTGTTATGCAAATGTCGGTTTACTGTGTGAAAGGTGATTGGCATTTCCTGCCATTAAGAAGCCTCAAGTAGCCTCCGCACTCCCCATAAAAGAGTGAGAGCTGCGTGGATCTGATTCCTTTCACGATGGGTTAAATGGCATTGCGGGGTAAGAACCAGTTTATCCAGTCTCATGAATCGAGTGCTTCCGTCAAGCTCGAAAAGTTACATAACCTTTCCGTTTCAAAATTTTACAATAAAACGACAATTAAGCCTCGCTTTTTCTTTTTCTTTTTTAAAAAGTTTTTTTTACAAAGTTTATTAACAGCAGCAAATCTGCGACACAATAAAAGTGAAAATAGGAACGTAGAGGTGTTTGGAAAAAAAAATGTAATACAAATATATTTTTGTTGGTTATTTATTTAGCCTAGTTTGTGACTAACAAAGCACATTTCAAAACATATTTCAAAACCTTTTGGGATGCAGACTATATTGTCTTTTACTCTCAAAAAAATTGTTTACTTTTCTGAACAAAAAGATCAGGAAGCATTATAGAGCGACTGAGGGAAAGTGTTTGGAAAAGAGGGGGAAAAGATAACATAATAATAATATTAATAAATGAATAAACAATAATAATTAAAAAGATAAATAAATAAATATATTAGAAGGGGGATTGGTATTTGGGTAAGACAGGGGTGTTGAAATTGTAAGGTGTATGTTGATGATGTGTTATGTGTTATGTGCTATTACAAGTACTTTGTTCGGATGATTTATTAAAGAAGGATGACTTGACAAGTGTGGAAACCTTTACTTAAAAGAGGGCCGCTGTGTGTGTGATAGTTCCTAATATTTCCAGTCTATGGATAGTTCTCAGTCAGGTTATGAATAGTCAAAGAAAGATTCATATTAAAGAAAGATGTTTATCAGAATAACTACTAACTCAGTGGCAAACTGAAATAAAAAAACCCAGCTGTCATTAGACCCTGTGTTTTTTATTGGCATATAGCAGGCTAGTTTAAAAGTCTTGTGATTCAGACTGCTGATTGCAATTCAAGACTGAAATTATACTGGCACTGACTCTGAGATAAACAATGGGGACACGACCGTCTCATTTTTTTTAATGAACTGTGCGTTGCAATATCCTTGAGCTTTTATTTTGAAGTACCCATTCGTCACTTCGTTTATAATCGGTTCGTTCCGTACGTAGCTTGATGGCGTAGCAGCGTGGCTCGACCTGAGGCGGGCTGGCAGAGGGAGGAGAGGGAGTGTCTGCTGGGTGTAGCAGCAGCAGCAGCAGCCTGACGTCTTGTTAGTGTGAATGAGTTAGGGGGGGGGGAGAAAACACTGACAACAGCTCAGCAGGCGAGACAGTCGCGGAAACTGAGAGACAATTTTCTTTTGTAACTTCTTCCCGCTTCCTTCCTTTCTCCCTCCACCTGTATGACTTCGTGAAGACAAAAGGTAAAAGACAACTTTTTAACGTTACTGCTAATGACATTCAAATATTCCCACCGTTGTGAAAGTTCATAAAGCTAATGTAGCAGGTGCACCATCTTTATGACTTCTTTTAACCTAAGTAGTCTGTTCAATGTAATTTTATCCTAAATGAGAGTATTTGTCATACATGTAGGTCCTTACTAATAATATCAAACACAAGGCTTATGGGCTCATAAGCTTGAATTAAATGTAAAGTTAAACTAATTTATCTCACTTTCCATTGTTCAGCTGCACTGGTCACACTACTGGTTCATTGACTGGGAGTTCAGTGTTGACGTGTTGATAAGTAACTTATTAACAATCCGTAACTTAACATTTATACTCCTCCAGATGTAACTTCTCACCTTTATTATGTTCTGCGTTATGATGTCCCGATAATTGAATCTTTTAGGACTAGTGTGATCCACACAAGCTTCTCACAGCATCACTAAGAAGTAAGGCTACATTATTAATCCCCTGGACATCAAAACGAAAAGTACCCAGTATAAATTCACGTTAGGCTTGGGTGGCTGACATTCACGGAAAGGTAAACAAGGAAAAAAGACATAAATATCCCACAAGCTAAGTGATTTTTCACTAATGTATTACGCTTGTTGAATGTTGCCTTAATTAAACAAGCAACACAAATCATCTTTCATCTGCAGGTCTCTCTGTGAGACATGGTTAGGAAAAGTTAAACAGATTATCTATCCTTAGTGGGCGGTGCACACAGTTTTTTTTTGATCCCATTACACAACATCATGCACACCCAGAGGTGTTATGTTAGACTAGAGCAATGCAACAAAGATTATCACAAAACATATCACATGCATAAAGTGCCAAACTGCACACACTGTCTGAATATATTCATTCACAGTAGCTGTAGTTTAAAAGTGTTAAGAGTGACACAGTGAACATTTTGCTGACACACTGAACTGCACAATATAAAAGTGTATAGGGTGTGGAGTTACCGGTTTGTACTAAAGTCGTACTGGTCAAACCAGATGACATGCTGCATACAATACCTTTGGTATCTAGTGTAACAAATTTGGGAATGCTACTGTTATCTTTTTCACACGCTGTTCAAATGTGGACTTTCATCGGTCAAGGTTTTTAGCTTTCACCAAAATGATCACGTGACAGTACTTAAATAACAGCTTTCAGTGGTTTTGTTTCAATTGAAGATCTGGTTGTATTGTGTTACTGCAGACCATAATGTTGATGCTGATGACTCATCAGGGCTTCTTTATTCTCTGACAACATGTTTCCTTCTTGCCTGCCTGCCTGCCTGCCTGCTTTGATTCCTTTTTTTTTAGTAGCTTTGATTAAAAAAAAAAAAATACAAATACTCTAAGGCTGCTTACCACAGCAGAGGCTGCCACAGCAGACTGTTTATGGATACAGCTTTTCAAAGACCTAGTGCTGATGTGTTGAATAGAAACAATAGAATAGAGGTTAGTTCATGTTTCTTAGAACACAAAGAAAGAGTTTAACTTTCACAATTATGACGATTTAGACAATATAAAAACTTCAACATTTTATCAGTTTCCCACAGCTATATCGCTGTATGTATGATTTATGTTGATTCATTTAGTTGGATCAGTCTAAACCAAAAATGACCCTGAAAGTATCAACCTGATGGGAAAAGTCAAGTATTGATTTTTTGTTAGATTATACTTTGTTCTTTATTGTTTGAGGAAAGAGGGGGACATTTTTTAATGGTTTCTAATGTGCAAGTGTGACCATCACTTTTGATTATATTTAACTAAGAAGAAGAAACAGAGAAATATATAGATCTTTCTCAACAGCATGAAGACTTCCTGATGTTTTCAGTTTCTGGTGTTTGTTCACTTTGATTGATTAGTTTGTCTTTGCTCCCGCAGAAGCAACAGGCTTAACAAATCTAGACCAACCAGACATGTCCAGTCATCTTTTATAACAACAAAAACCAACTGATATGTCCCCAATGAGAGTACTAATGTTTTTCAATTTAAATGTGTGATTTGCCGTATGTAAACACTTCTTCTCCTCTTCTCTTCTAGCGGCTCAGTCATGGAGAGCTCCATTGAGGCTTCCCCGAGTGCTGGCATCTCTCAAACAAAGCCAGCTCTGACCCCCAAACCTCGGCTTGCTCCGAAGCCCTTCTCTCTGCAGAAGAACTCGAACATTCGCTCCATCAATGCTCCAAAGACGGTCAGCTCAACCACTAAAAAAACATTGCAGAAGACTATACCCTCCCCTGCTCAGCAAACCCCCGCCTCTGATTCCAAACCGAGCCCTGTAAGTGTGCTGAACACCAAAAATCAACAAAAAACAACAACAGATACTATCGATTCTGGTGTAGGAAAATCTGATCCTTCCTCACAAACTGCTCCACCCAAAGAAACACCCGAGTCTGAGCTAATCGAGAAGGACGATGTCATCCAAATAAAAGCCAAAGCATCCACAGTTATTGAGCCTGAATCTGAACAGATAGATGGAAAAAAGAAAGAAGAAGAAAAATCAGACATCAAGAAGCTCGAAAAATCCGATGGCGATGTTTCATCTGCATTTGATCCCAAATGTCACTTGGGTAGCATCAGGAAGCGCCTGCCCACGGAGCTCACCTCAAAGTTTGAGTCAGGTGGTCCGTGTTTGCCCCCCCAGCCGAGTAAAAACATCCCAACAATCAAAAACATTGCGAACAAGCCAGAATCTTCAGATCCGGATCAGAGCCCGAGAGCATCAGAACCATCAAACACAGAGAATGAAGAAGGAGGACTGAAGGAGGACTATGGTGGAGGAGGCAGTATAAAACGCAGAATCAGTCTCCTGTTTGACTCTTCATCGAGGCCAGAGGTCATGGCAAAGAGAGACGAGCCAGAAATTGTGAATGGTACAGGAGGAGTGAAAGCGAGAATTAAAAACTGGGTCACAGAGACTAACTCTGAGACTGAGAAGAAGCCTCAAGTTGTGCACAGAGGTCGCTCTAAGAGGTGAGCTCTCCTCCCTTTAACTCTGATGTTTCATACTTCGTGATGCGTTGAGACATGAATAAAAGGAAAACACATTCTCTTGCAAGTGCAATCACGCAATATATTTATTTAAATGTCATGTATGAGTTGTACTGTTTGGATATTGGCCATTTTCACTCCTGATTTAGCTTCTGTTATCAGACAATCGCAACTGATGATTGAAAGCTTTTCTTTGTTTGAACTTGGTGCTTCGGTGATGCAGATAAAATCTCACTGCAGTGTGGAAAGGAACTTTTTTTCCTTCCCTTTCCACCGAGAGAGAAAGGTCTCCCTGTTTCTGTGAAAAAGTAATGAAATGTGCAGGTCTAGAACTGTTCAGGCAGGAACGATGAGCAACACTGTCCTCATTTTCTCTGTATCTTCTTTCTTGCTGTCATTTCTATGGGCCTGGAGTTGGTGGTGAATGTATCGCTGTTCTTGCAGTATCATGATTGGTCAGACTTATTTACTTCAAATAAGTTTTGTCTCGAGTGCAAACCAGGATATAATTTGTTTGTCTGACTCAGTTCAAAGTGTCTAAAACTCATAATTAACACCTGGACTCTGCAATCACTGCTGGTTGCCTGGCAACAACCTCACCGTGATGACAAGACTCTAGAAAGCCAGAGCGCCTGGTCAACATATACTGTCAGCTTGTCACTCTCTGTAAATGGATGGTGCTTATAAAACACTTTGAATGTTTTCTGTGCTTTTACACATGTCACATTCACACAGTGTGATAGCTGCTACGCTAAGTGGCTTACAGACCATCTGGATCTGTACTAATCACATTTACACACATTCACACGACAATATGACTTTGAGGGCGACTAGGGGTTTGGCGTCTATCCTAAAGATACTTCAACATGTAGACTAATACGGAGCCACAATGACCCATCAACATCTTAGCTTTTAAATGAGTATGTATTTGATTAAAAAAGGACTGATGAGCCAGACTAGTAGTAGGTCTGAGCAATATGGGATACATCTATGATGGGCAATGATTTATATAACATTTTATTGTAATATGTTTCAATATTGCAGTGTCAATATGACTTGCCATGATTAAACTAATATTAAAATGTGCTTCAAGGGGACATATTATGAATAATCCACTATTACAGTGTTTTTTTGAACATATATTTGGGTAACCTGATTGTCTACTGACCCACAAAATGTGAAATAAGTCTTACAACACAGAGAAAAATGCTCTGTCTCCAATTTGTTGTCCTTGTGACGTCACAGTGGGATATTGGTAAAAAAAGAAAAATACCCTGCCCTGATATCTCCACCCATGGACTCCAACCCCAGCCTAGAGGAAAAAATATGCGCAGGTCCTCCATTTTTATTCTCCCTACAGAGGAGTGATGTCTACCGGGAAAACTCGGGGGGGGGGGGGGGGGTTCATTACATTTAAAGAGACACACACACCAAAACGGAGCATTCTGAGAGAGCTGGTTTATACAGGGTCACAAACTTCCTCTGGTGCTTGATTCATGTTATATTTTGAACAAAGCACAGCACAGCACAGATGTTTCATTTAGACCACAGGGGAATGTTTGAAAAGGTGGAGAAGGGATAATATGACCTCTTTAATAGCTTAAGAGTTCATTTCCTTCTCTTTGGCAGTATGTTTTTTTCTCTACCTGAGTGTATTAGCTGGTAGCTGAAAGCTAGCTGGTGCTTTATCTTATGAGGGAACATGACGTGACCCTTTGTGTATCCAGTGATAATTCTGATAAGTCAAATTTAGATTGAAAGCATGGATCTATCTGATGTTTTTATTGTCTTTGTTCATATCACAATGATGATAAAAATATGATTCAACAGTCAGAAGTTAGCCCGTATAGGTACATTTCTTGATTTCTGGACTGAGCCATTTCAGATGTTTTCCTACTTTTTTGTCTTCATGCCCAGCTTAACTATTAAGACTAAGTCAATTTAAGCGTCATACTTAAATACTTCAGAAATAAACTCAAGAATTACATTTGTTTTTTCTCTCTCACAGCTTTGAGCCAGGAACTTCTCTAACAGAAGAGGAGACACCTGAAAAACCAAATGTTGAGCCCCCTGCGAGCAAGACATCGTCCAGCGAGGAGGTGGATCATTCTTCAAGAGCGTCGCCTGCTGAACAACCTACAGACACCCCGACGGAAACATCCGAAGGGGCTAGTACAGAAAATAAGTCATCGGAAATCTTGGGAGACCCATCAGAAGAGCGCACACAGAACAAATCCAACGAGGGGGAAGTCCAATTACGGAACCGCAGCCGATCTTTAAGCCAGACCGCCACTGATGAGGGAGACTCAGCTGCCAGTCAAAGTCTGCAGTGTTCTCTGAAGAGGGGCGGAGTCAAACGGCGCTCTGTTCACTTTGGCGTGGTGGAGAGAGATGATGGAGGGCCCCCCGTGCCCCTGGGCTCAGACCCTGATTCCAGCGAAGGAGAGGAAGAAGAGGCACCAAAGGATGACACTGAGGAGGAAACCCCGGAATCAATACCGGTCTACAGAAGAGTGGGTTCACTTCAGAAGAAGAACGATGAGGCGCAAAGGGAAGAAGAGGAACGACTGAAACACGTGGAATTTGAAAAGAGACGGAGGGCAGAGGAGCATGAACAGGCGAATCTAGAGATCGAGCAGGAGCGTAAACGAAAAGAGGAAGAAGAGAGGGAGAAAGAAAAGGCAAGGCAGAGGGAGGAGGAAGAAAGGGAAAGAGTGAGGCTGAGGGAGGAGGAAATGGAGAGAAAGAGGAAGGAGGAGTGGGAAGCAGAGAGGTTTAAAGAAGAAGAGAGAGCGAGGGAAAGGCAGCGAGAAGAAGATATGGAGAGGGAGAGGCAGATGGAGTTGATGCTGAAGAGACAGAGAGAGGAGGAAAAAGAAAAGGCAAGACAAGAAGAGGAGAGACTCAAAAAGGAACAGGAGGAGAAGGAAAAAGAGAGACTGAAGGAGGAGGAGCGACTGAGGGAGGAAAGAGAGAGGCAAAAGCTCAGAGAAGAAGAGAGGGAGAGAGAGAGGGAGTTGATGTTGCAGAGAAAAAGGGAAGAGGAAAGAGAGAGGGCAAAACAAGAAGAGGAAAGGAGCAAACAAGAACAGGAAGAAAGGGTAAAAAGGAGACTGATGGAGGAGGAGAGACTGAGGGAGGAAAGAGAAAGACAGAGGCTAAGAGAAGAAGAGATGGAGAGAGTGAGGGAGGAACAAGAAAGACAGAGGCTAAGAGAAGAAGAGATGGAGAGACTGAGGGAGGAAAGAGAAAGACAGAGGCTAAGAGAAGAGGAGATGGAGAGACTGAGGGAGGAAAGAGAAAGACAGAGGCTAAGAGAAGAGGAGATGGAGAGACTGAGGGAGGAAAAGAAAGACAGAGGCTAAGAGAAGAGAGATGGAGAGACTGAGGGAGGAACAAGAAAGACAGAGGCTAAGAGAAGAGGAGATGGAGAGACTGAGGGAGGAACGAGAAAGAGAGAGGCTAAGAGAAGAGGAAAAGAGATTCATTCGTGAACAAGAGGAAAAAAGAATTGAGAGAAAACTGACAGAGGAGGAAATGAACTTAGAGAAGCAAAGAGAAGAGGAGTGGGAGAAAGAGTGGTTGAAAAAGACGGAAGAGTTGGGAGGAGAAAAAGGAGAAGAGGAGAGGGGAAGAGAGACAGAGTTGATGTGGCAGAGACAGAAAGAGGAGAGACAAAGACAAGAGGAGATGGAGAAAGAAAGGCTAAGAGAAGAGGCAGAGAAGAATGAGCAGAAAAGGCTAAAAGAGCAGCAACAAAAAGAAGAGATGGAGAGAATGAGGGAAATAGAAATGGAAAAGCTAAGGTTAGAAGAAGAGAGGCAAAAAAGAGAAAAGAAGGCAGAATCATCTCTTCCCCCCTCAGCAAAAAAATCAGAGAGTCAAATTGAAGTAGTTTATGATGACTTCTCCGTCAAGCAGCCTCTGATGGATGTGGATTTCGATGACTTTTCCGTCAAACCCAAGAGATGGGGATCACAGGCCAAAGCGGAAGCTAGTCCGGCCACCCGAAGATGGGAAGAGGATCCTGCTGAGAAACAAGAAGTGGAAGCGCTGGTGCCAATGGAGGTCAGCCAGGGGGGAAATAAAGAACCGGACAGCCCACTGCCCACATTAACCCAGAAAAGTCCTGTGGAAGAGGAGGTGGTACAGCTCATCTCCATAAAGTTTGTAGAAGAGAAATGGTGATGGAGAGGGAGAGGGAGAAGGAGCGCGAGGAGAAGGAAACGAAGGAGGCGTTGGAGGAGGAGACGACAAAGGAAGATGAAGAAGACAAGCAGGAGGTAAACACTTCTTGGTCTCTTGTTTATTTTTTTTCTACCAATGAATCACATCAGCCACACACACCTCACCTGCACTAACACATCGCAATTCCAGTGAATAGCATCTTGTTTTACTTGCTTCAGCCGGATCAGTCACAGGTTAAGAGCTTGAGTGTGTGTTTGTGTGTACTTCTAGGTGTGACACTGAGTAATCAATTAAGCACGACCTGAAATGCACTGCTACATGCCAATTGTCAGTGGTATTCTCTTGTTTTATTCACAGCTAGAGCTATCTTCTCACATTTGAAAACCTCAGTGTTGCCGAATGAAGAGTTAGGAGGCGTGACAGTAAAAAAGACATTGTTGTTCATTTTGCATGGATTTTAATTTGTGTCACTTCACTCATAATTGTTTGATCACACTGTATAAACCCTTCATGTCTCATGTGATGTGTGTATGTAACAGGAAGACATCATAACAGGAAGTGAAGTGCAAACCAGTTTACTTGTAGCTACTTTCACTTTTGCTTTTTTTTTGTGCCTGACGCAAAAACATTTAACTTTCAAAGTACAAAACGCTTTAAATAGACCATTATGGCATGGCTTTATGAAAGTGTGATATATTATTTCACATGGACACCTGGGATTGGTTATCTCCAGCAGTTATGGGTGAGTCTTTCAAGAACGGTTTCGTAATAAGTGATCATCGTTTTGAAACAAAGTACAGCAATCTCAGGGAGGATCCTGCTTTGCATTTATTTCTTGTCTTTTAAGACAGGTCGCTAGCCTCTCTCATCATAATCAATGGCACCTAATATAATTGAAGTATCGGTATCACAGAGATTTAGAAAAAGAACATTTATTATTTGAGATTCTATATAGTTTGTTTATGAACTCCGAGTTGCATCTGTTTTTTGTTTTTTTTTGCACTAGTGCCAAAGGCAACATTTCCATTGGAACAACAATTTAATCTAATCTCTTATCTCTTATCTGCATTTCTATTTATCTAACTACTACTTCCTTTAGTTTTTTTTTTCTGTTTTCTTGCTTTATTCTCAGCTTGGCTATCCATTTGATGGTGGTAGTTTCATAATGGTGTAAACCAGGGGTGCCCAAACAGTCGATCGCGATCGACAGGTAGATCGCTGACTGATTCTCAGTCGATCGCGAGATGTTTTGTCAATATAAAATACAATTGTAAAATAGAAAAGTGATTTCATTTTCATCTCATTGCAGTTTTCCCACACACGATACCTGTGTGGGGAGCCCAAGTATACTTCCGACCTGTGTGTATTTAATTTTTCATTTATTCATGAAATTGCTGCGTGCATGAGAGAGCGAGCGGCGGAGATAGAGAGAGAGAGAGAGAGAGTGCAGGCATGTGCAATGACGTGCAGGTAAAACGGGGGGGGGGGTAAATGTTTTACCAAAAAGTCATATATAGAAACTATGCTACGAGTATTAAGCGCATTTGATGAAGCTGCAGCTACTTTTCTCTGCTCCTCTCTGCTGTCATGACTGTGAGCATCGCGGGGGACGAGACACACCAACATACAGCGCAAACGCACACACACGCGCACACGCAACCACTTGCACTGGAGCGCCAGCCACCACGCGAACCTTTTTACTTTTTACTTTTAGTGCTACAGCACACAGTTGATTCGTGATCCGTACGGACCGAGGTGGGAACACACGTGACCCGGTCAAACAGTCGGTTGGACTTTACTCCGTTCACTCTCACCGTGTCTGCAGCTAATTTAACAAAAGCAAAATCATCTCACAGCAGCCTGCTGTAGTCTGTGAACATCTCCACACAGATTAAAGTTGTTTGTTGTAAACTAAATTAAGGGGAAAACATATGTGATATAAATACAAACTTGGTATTAAATTGTAGCCTACCCTAAAATAAGAGTTTAAAAAAAAGTATGTCGATATTGCATTCTTTTTTACAGAACTCTCATTTATTATTTTCTGTTTGTTGTGTGAGTATTAAATGCGTTTGTAGGCTGTTGGTAAAGGCTATGGCTCACTATGTGGACTGGTAGATCTCGGCAGACTGGTAACTTTAAAAGTAGATCTTGGTTCAAAAAAGGTTGGGCACCCCTGGTGTAAACAAATAAAGAGTGATTTTTGTCTACATAGAAATAAAAGGAAACAAATAGTGCACAGTCCTTTTTAGCTGTTAAAGTAAGAGAAGCCTACACATGAATGTTTTCTACTTCTGAAAAGTGACCTTTACGACTTATAGGTTGATCCCCATTAGTTTCATTTTCAGTGACTAAATGTATAACGTAGATCTAAAGTATGAGTGTTGAAGTCTTTGACAACTTTCAAAGTAGGCAATCACGATCTATAATCACTTATGTATGCATGATAAAACATGTTGGCTTCTTCTAACACTGAGTTTATTTAATGTTTCAGTTGATGCACATTTAAAAGCCCATTGTATCCATGGTACAGCAGCAGTCAAACAAACCATGTCCGGGCTAACTTCTGGGCGTAGCTATAAAAGAACGTCATCACTGTTCAGTCTGACTGAAGCATTTCTAATCACTTTAGGGTTCTAAAGATTTACGCATGTTGAAGGGAGATTCTTTTTTTCTCCTGAGCGGTGTTAGCCTACCTGTAAATCAACAAAACAAAGGTCAAAATGAAGCGCCTAAAAAGACCTACAAACAAGTAAAAAGACACCAACATGATTGACTATATGAATTAAGATTACACTTAAAAAACATGATTATTGAAAATCTGAGTCTGACCGTGGTATGGAGAATTGACTGCACTTTACTTTAGAAGAGAGATAGCATCAGACCCAAACAGCTCAAGGCAAACAGAGCTGCAGATAGCACCTATTAGTCTTTACTTAATAGTAAATGAACAGCTGACATCAGTGCACCAGTCAGGACGGACCAGTTCACCACCTTTTTGGACATGCAACATTTTTGCAAAGTTAATGAAAACTCTGTAACCCCCGAAGTGTGTGAGTGTTTGTGTTATCATCTTTGTGATAACATGTCTCTGTTTGCATGCTTCAGGAAATAAACCGACCCACAAAATCAGTGAGCTTCTGTAAAAGGGCCATTGTTCAAAACCAGTGGTATCAGAGTATGTTTGTGTTAGTACAACCCTGTTTTCACCACATGGTGGTGCTGCTGCTGCTCTTAAAAAAAATCACTTCCTTGTTCTACTCTACAGACAACAACACCTTTAGCTCCCATAGAGCACCTTACACTGTTATTAAAACACTCATCAGAGTGAGTTAACATTAAAAATGAAATCATTTCTGTGCTCCATGGAAACCTTTGAGGAAAGCTTTTATTTTTGTCTTTGTCACAGCAGAATAAGGAAAGTGTTTTCTTGGTAAACATGAGCTCTGCAGCCAACCATGCATGCTCATTCAGGCTACTGACTCAAAGACAGACAGACAGACAGATGGATGGATGGATCTTATAGTGTGAAGAGCTGAGATGCTATGTGGTCATCATGTCCTCATTTGGATCTGGTCAACAGGGCAGCGTGTCAAAATGTCCATACATGGTGCCCCTCTTTCCCAGTCTCTTTCTCTCTCCTTTATCTCTCCACCCCGTTCTAGGAGAGCCCATCAACATACCCCCCCCCCCCCACATACTATCTGCCACACTTACAGACAAAAGAGGATGGGCTAAACCACAGACAAGATAGTTTTCATCCACTGTCCATTCTTGCCCGTAATCTAGTGGTCGCTGTTGATCAAACTTTTATTTCAACTCTCCAAAAAGTCTTCCTGTTTTCTGCTGCTCCCTCTGCCGTTTCCTCTGACAAAGAGCTGCTTCATCCAGTTACCTGCATGTACCTACGGGGGAGCACCGAAAGGCTGTTGCAGAGAGCAGCTCTTTCCGGCCGACCACACCTTCCTTCTTTTGGGATTTTCCACATCGGAGCACAGTGCTCGGCTTTGTTTTGACGTGCTCTGACATCACTCAGGTCTAAAGGAGATAAAGGGCTGATCTACTTTACTTTACCTTGCTTTGGATGTTTGGAGTAGCCGATATTTCTCACGCTGCTTGTTCTTTCTGTTTTTCCTGAATGACAAATGGAGATGTGATGTGAGCAGGGATGTAGTTGAACAAGCAACGAGGCTTGACTGAGGCAGAAACAAGTCTCAACAAAAGACAGACATGAAAGAGGGAACTGTTGAGATACTTTTTGTGCAGGACTAAACTTTTTTCTTTTTTTTTTTTCTTTTGACGCAGAGACCTCTGTCAGTGTCTTTAAATAGACTAATATGTGATGATTGGAGAGTCTTTTTATGGACTGCTTCTGCTCAGGATGTCACATCCATCATTGTGAATGCTGCAGTGGAATAATGTTGTCACAGTGTAAACACATGCCCTCTCAGACTGTTTACCTCTTTACTGAAAGCAAATAATGGACTGTTGCAGGAAGTTTTTTTGTGGACTATAAAAATATGGAGATAGAGGAGGAATCTAGTTCAATGAAATTATGGACTGTCCGCCGTTTTGGATGACATCACAAACTTTAGAAACTTTGTGCTTCCTTTACTGTCGGCTCTCTCAAAATGATGAATGAGAGCAAGATCATAGACACAGCTTCCTGACTCACCCAAACATCAACCACACCTCAGCGTCTGTGATGACCCGGATTCCAATGGTGTCCTTAGTGGCTGTACAACCATCAGTTTGAGTTTTTTTTTTTTTTTCAATATGCAGTACTTTGGAGGGAAACTGTCGGCTGCCCAGCTGCAAATGGCGGGCTTGGTGGGCAGCATGCGACGCTCCTTGCAAGGGGCTCTGGATCTGGTGTGGGGCACTGCAGAAGAGAAGCAGGAGGAGGAAGAGGAGGATAAAGAAGAAGAAGTAGAAGAAGAAGGAGGTGGAGATAGTGGAGGACGGTTTCAGAGAGCCGTGGCACCGCTCCGGAGTTTTGCCAGACGCAGCAGGAGGTCCCTGCGCCGCTTCTCTGTCAGAAGTCGCCAGACTCTGCAGAGGACATCCACTGAAAGCTGCTCAGTAAGAGCTGACACAGTTATCCAGCTGATTTTCAATGTGCAGGTTTATAATAATGGAACCCAAGAGTTCAGCTGCTCTATACAGTTTACATAAAGGATCCATGTTAATAGATGACTGCGATTGTGACAAGGGGAGAGCAGCAGGCGGTTTGTTTCAGGAAGGATGCAGGGCCGTGATAAAAGTTTCCCATATTTAGTGTTTTATCAGAGCTAATACATGTTGTGGTGTGACAGCGATAAAACAGAGGACTGTAACAAAGTGTGGCTTTGTTAGATAAGCCACGGCCGTGTGTTTCTGCCCTCTGCATCTGTGACTGCCTATTTGTTGAAGAGGAGGTATGCTACCAAGAAAGGCATGGCACGAGAGCAAAACAAGCGGGTATCTTGTTGTTGTGTGGTTCAGAGAGGAGGCAGGTTTAGAGACGTTCACATGCTGAAATCTTTCTCACTATTTGAACAGTTTACCAGCTGCTGCTTGAATGTGAGTGTGTGTGAAAATGTGTGTGTGTGTCTGTGTCAATGCATATGTGAGTTAACAACCATATGAAAGTAACTTGAAGGCCAGTTTCCCCTTTCATGTACATGATCCATTGCTTCCTGTTATTGGAGGTGATGTTTTGTTGATTAGTCCTCATCTTCAGTTTAAGATTTTTTTTTGTGTGTGTTTGTTCCTGCGGCATCTTCGGGGTTGTTATCCTCTCCGACTCCCCCGCACATCAACAACATCCCCTCTTATACATTCCATTGACCATGAAAAATATGTGTTGCACGTACACTATAATAAAGCTGCCTCTGTCTTGACTTGCACAGCCTGCTGTACCTGCACAGTCACACATACACACACACACGCACACACACCCACCCCACACACACACACACACACACACACACACACACACACACACATTGATGTTTCTTGTGTCTGCATTGCTGGGGGTTGTTGAGTTGTTAATTTCTACATTCCTTAAGGAAACTATAAGCATGCCTCAATCGATTGTTTATGTGTATAGCTCTAAGTCAAAGCTGCACTTAGATACTTTTTTCCACCAGCTTAATCCCTTTTTGATGGAAAAAAGTACCAATCGTTTTACCAACAAACGCAGAGTAAATTATCTGTGTTCCCCCAGCAAACGTTCCTCTTTCAGTTCAATGTTTGGTTAAAAAAAAAACTTAACTGGACTTCACTAAGACTCTCATCAACATGGGTTCAAGCCATAGCTAGCATTACACTCTCAGTCAGCGCATATTGTCTGACAGGCAGCTTCTGATATAGCTGCTGGTAATAATGTAGCATGTAGCTGAGAGAAAGAAAAGCCACATATTTTCTTACAGGCGATAGTGATAAGTCAAAACACAGCTCTGAGCAGAGTCATTTATAGAATTATAGTTTTTTAGATGGCCAGAATCACAACTCCAAAAGAACACTCAAGTTGCTCTGTATAGAGTATGTGTGCATAAAGGAAACAGTTTGCCTACGTGTTCAATTTCTAACTTAAAATAGTGATAATATGGATTTTTTTTAAATCTATTTCCTCTGACTCCAGGTTGATTTCAGGATGTTCAAAGTGGTGTTGCAAAGAGAAAATGTTTACATTTCTAAAACTTGAGAAAAGTTTGGTTTCCTTTTTCATTGAATATCTGTGAAAAAGAGATGCACTTGTCTGTTGCCTCATTATACCGATGACAGGAAGTACTCCAAGAAGGAAGAGTTTTTTTCTTTTGAAATCACCTGAAGATTTTAGAGGCGAATGTTTCACTAAAAATCATGTAAGTTAAACCTAATTAAATGTAGTAGCTACTTCAGTCAGAAAGGTGAGGCAGATTAAGGCTGAATACATGTTTGTGGAATTGCACCACCTGTAGACTTTGTTTTGCTTTTAGCAGACAAACACCGCCCGTGGTTGTCTCTAGAAGTCTATTCAGTGGTGCTGTGGTGTAGCCAGAGAACAAGCCTGCAGATGAAGCTGCTCTGTGAGCTGTGACAGATAAATGTACTTATGAAGGAGATGTGTGTGAAATCATACCGAGAAAGGGCTGTTTATTTGAGGATTGTTTTGTATCCAGGTAACACTGGGATGTGCCCCTTGACGAAACTTGAAGTGAGCTAAAAGGAATGTGTGTATGAGGATGTGAGCTGTGGTTGGTTTTGTTTGGAACGTGCGTTGTGTATGTATGTGTGTGTGTGTGTGTGTGTGTGTGTGTGTGTGTGTGTGCGTGTGTGTGCGTGTGTGTGTGTGTACTGATGCATTCCACCATGTGGGCGTGAGAGTATGAGTGTGTTTGGTGTGTCTGCTTGTGCATATAGGTGTGTATGCCAGTGTGTTCCTGTGTGTGCGTGCATAATCACGCTCGTGGTGTTTATTGAGGACAGCCCAGCCTCTGTGACCTGCTCATTAAAAGATGCATGCTCGGTTGGTCCTCAGTCCTCTCGCCCTCTGTAGTTAGTCATCTTGGCTCCGCACACGGTCCACTTTCTCCCGGCCTGAGCTCCACCATGTGAACTCCTAATGTGCAAGACTTTCAGATCAAAAGAGCATTTACACTATTTGAGTATATACGCTATGTAAGTCAACCAAAAGAGAGAGAGGAAGAGTAGCAAGCCAAGTTTTGTAAAAAAAAAAAAAAAAAAACCTTTCGATGCAGTTTATCCAACAAATAAGCATAACTTGCTTAATGTCCTAACTGGTTGTGTTGAGAAAGCTGTTTTTCTGCCTGTTTCCAGTTTGTTATTGAATTGTCTGTTTTCTGTCTCTCAGGCACAGGTTAACAGTTATGGCAGAACAGAAGAGGACAAAGACACTGATGCCTTGATCGACAATGAGCCAGACCAGCAGCGTGAGGCCCGTGAGGAGCCGTCTGAAATTACAGGTTGGAAAGTTGCACTTTTAACACCAAACAAACTCCACACTCTGTGAACAGCCGACCTCCCAGATGTCTGTTCAAGTGGATTCCTTTTTTTTTTTTTTCCAAAAACAGACCAACAGGCAGGATCAGACAGGTTTACAGTGTCATCCTTTTTTTGTCTTTCTACTGACAGCATGGCTTCACATAGAGGGGATTTGATTTAGAATGAGCATACCCTGCAAACCAAAGCCTGACAGTATAGCTGTGCTACATTAAAGAGTGAAAGTGCATCACCCAAAGGTGTAAGTTTAGCCCTTGTTTCTCAAAATGATCAGCGTGGCCTTTAGTGCAACCTATAACCAATATATGTGTGAACTGAACTTTGTGAGGTCAAAACGTAAACATTCAGTATAACGAGACACGTAGTCTACCGTCTTAAAAACTATATATGTGTTTGAATTACTCACAAATATAAATACATTCTGTTTGAGGGTTTTAAAACAGAAATTAAATCAGAAAAAAGACTTTATTTAGATATATGCAAATGTACTTGTAATAATAAAATAAATGAAAACAATAATGGTTTAACAACTTTCTGTTTTGTAATGGGTTTTTTTTCTCATAAATCTTGTGACAGCATAATCAAGAGTAGCTGCATACTTTATACTGATAGTAAGCGCTTACAAGTATATTGGAGAGTTGAGATCATTGTGCCCTCTTGTGGTTCATAGAACACAACACAGAAGAGTGGAGCTTAGAGCAGTTTAAGTTAATTTAACTTCAACTAAAATAATCCAAAATAAAGCACAATTATAATGCTCATTTTAATCTTGGTTCAAAAATAATTTCAATGACATTTTCTTTCTTTTCAGTCCAGAGCCCGTGCCTGAAGAAGCCCCTGAAGAAGCCCCTGAGGGCTCCCCTGAGCGCTCCCCTGAAGATGCTGATATGACAGATTTTCACACCGTGGAAGAGCCAGCTCCATTCCCCGAGGTGGGTTATTCTTTTCTTTCTAATCCTCCCGCCTTTGTGAGCAGTGGCAATTCATTTCTGTATCATTAACTGCATGCATTCAGTATGTTTTGATCATTCTGTGTTTGTCTGTGCACAGAGCTCCAATCCTCTCCTTGACACCAGCGTGCAGAGATCGAAGGCCGACCTCGGTAAGAGGCGAATTCGGTCACGTCCGTCCAAGGTGTTTCGTTCAGGCTTGTCGGCGAAGGAGAGCCCTGACTGGAGGTGTCATGACTCCACAGGTTATTACAGCATCATCTTATCTTGTCTTCACTGAAGGATAGAGCTCATGGGATCTTTCATTTCAAAATGTCAGCAAACACTTCTGCTCCAGGCAAACAGCAGTCTCACTGAGTCTTTTGACTGATCTGCTTTATTTCAATGTTTTTAGATGAAAAGGAGGCAAATCAAAAGGATTCAGACTCTGAGGAGGAGCAGCCTCAACTGAAGAAAGTCAGTACTACTCCTCCCTCCTCTAAGAGAGTCCCCGTCTTCCCTGGCTTGAGTCCTTCATCCCTAATTGTAAGTTCTGAGTTTGAGAAGAACATCAGATGTAATATATCATATCTCATGCTACAAATGAGAAGTATTTGAACTAAGCTAAGTGTATTTAACTTGCTCCAAAGGCTAAGCTTAAAAGGAGAACAGGTGGAGGACGGACCGGAGGAGGAGAGCAAACAGAGGAAGACAAGGGAAGGGAAGAGAAGGAAAGCCAAAAAGAGGAAGACACCGCACCATCTCCCTCTCTGCTGTCACGTTCTCCTCGCTCTCCCGCTCATCTAGCGGGGGCTGCACGAGTGCTGCCACCCATAGGTGGTGCAGACAAAGGGTAAGAAAAGAGTTTGACTGCATCAAACCATTATTCAAAATTGGATATGTACTTTTTATTATGACACTTCTCTGAATTTGTGGTGTAACATTCAGTGCCGTCGCCTCTCCTGCCTGGCTGAAAGAACTCAAGTCCAAGAAACGTCTGAGTCAGTATGACGGGGAGGCGTAGCAAGCATCAGGTAGGTTGATAATGAAATATGTAATACAGAGATTCTTGACTACCTAAAGACATTTATTCTGCAAACGTAAAATCATAACAACTCCGGGTGGCTGTGGCTCAGTTTGTAGAGTCGTCGCCTCTCAACTGGAAGGTCGAGGGTTCGATCCCCAGCTTAGCGACATGTCTGATGTGTACTTGGGCAAGACTCTTAACCCCGCATTGCTCCCGCTGCTTCGGTGGCGGTGTATGAATAGATTAGTGTTGTACTTACATTCTGATGTACGTTGCTTTGGATAAAAGTGTCTGCTAAGTGAATTGTAACGTAACAACTTGCCTTAAAAGTTTTATTTCTACACAAGAGGAAAGCTCTGTTTTTGTGCAAAACATGAATTAACAGGGGTCAATGTGTATATATCCAATGGTATTATTTAAACTCTTTCTTGTATTAACATATTATATAACAAAATTCATAAGAAGCACTTCAGAGATGTAAAACCCTCAAACTACTCATGAAATAAGGACGATTGTTGGACATGAGATGATCGGACATAGAGGAGCATTGAGCACACAAGCTTTGACATTTGTCTTATGCCCAGAATAACTTCTGTCGGAGAGATGGGAGTATCTTACAGGAGTAGTTTGCTCGTGAGTCATAGTGTACGAAAGCTGGATACATTTGAGGTGATAGAAAGCGAATGGTTTAAACCTTCGGGCAGTGCTATCAGGAATACATTTCATGCAAACTGTGACTAAACTGACAGCAAAGACAAAAACATCTCTAAAAATTCTTCTCTTGTCATGATAAAAAATGCCCAAAAAAAAAAAAAAGCGTTCTTATATTTATGCATGTAAAGCAAAGTGAAAGGGACGTGTCTATGTACCAGGGTTATGGATTACAGTGCCATTTGGACTACCCTACCCTAAACAGATCTAACAACCTAAGTGAGAGATGTTGAAGTATTTAATACATTTGATGACCCCTGTCTGTTTTCAAAACTTCCTCCTGAATGATCCTATTTGTTGTTCCCTTTAGGTCACACTGAGATCTTACTGCTGCTTCTGCTGTGAGACACCTTGCTGTGATGGCTCGTGTTTACACTTTGAGTGCCTTAATTTGGACCTCTACCGAGAAACGCTGGAGGGAAGATCAGGCTTTCCTGATCCAAGAGGCCATCAAGAACTTTGTTCATCTTGTTGATAAGATATGTTGCCAATTGCTCTGTGCCAAGACTGTGATGTGTTCAATGCCAAGTACACATTTGATCTTCTGTTGTACAGAGGCTTAGTGAAGGGGTAGAACCACAGCGTAGTTTACAGCATTATTGTATGAATGTGCAAATCCATCATTTACAGACTGGGACTGATGACACTAGGCATCCAGCAAGTCCAACATCCACGATAAAAACACTTGTACAGAATATACTGAATATAAATAATGCATTGCACCTTTTGCGTACTTACTGTAAATGTACAAAATGTCTTCAAAATTATCTTTCTAATCACAGATCATCCCAACTAATCATGGAAGCACTTTAAGATTTTTTTCTTTTCTTTTTTGGGGGGTTTTTGTTTTTACAAATGACCGTCCATGCAATACCTCGTAACAACAGAATTAAGTGCCTAACTGTAGAAGCAGGGTCAAGGGAATGTATCTTTATCTTTTTAATAAAAACTTCCTGTTTTTTCTAATTCAAAAACTCAATTGCTTGTTTGGGCAGCAACACTGAGCTGGGAGGATTTTTTTTGGCATGCTATGAGAAAATATGTTTTGTAAAATGTTTAACTGAGCGAAATGTTTTAATATGCTCTCAACTATTTTATGTGCCTTTTTAATGTTTAGAAAATGACGCGCTATCACTGCTGTAATCATCTTTGATTAACAAACTGTATGATAAGAGGAAACTGAGGGAATTTTATTAAAAACAATTCTATGAAATGCCATCGAGTGTGTATTTTTGGTGGGAAACTTAACTTCTATAGCGTACAAGTCGTGTGCGACCATGTCGGATGCAGGTTTTTGGACGCTGGATGAAGACAAAAGGTACAGAAACAGGTAGAAGACAGGAAACTGGAGGGTAAGTTAGCTGGGTGGGGCCAATAGTGCTGAGTGAGACTGATCACTGTTCATTCTCTTGGCAGCCAGTCAGTGCATGTGCCCACTATAGGATCATGGTCAGGATGGCAGCATGGGCAGAGCCGGGCAGCGTTTGCCAGTGTGCCAGGGACAGAGGGGCATGCCTATTGAGAAGCAGTGTGATGGACACAATGGGTGCGACAGACTTGCTGCATCAACAGGCTTTTTGCTGCTGTGGCCAGAAATAAACCATAAATACCCCTACTGGCCTCCACCGATCGCTCGCCAGGCCTCCACACCCACACACACCCTCACACTGAGACGGACAGAAAAGAGAGAGAAAAGAAGGAGAGCGTGGCTTGTACCTGGTGCAGTGAAGCACAAGCCATCCAGGTAAAAGAAATGTAGATCCTCCTTCCCTTCAACAGGCCTTTGTCTTCGACTTTCTATCCATTCTTCTATCTAAACCCAGAGGCTAGCTTATTAAATAGTAATTGGTATGTGTTCTATTCATGTTCTTCTCATTAGGACAGCTTGAATAAACAAGTAATGAATGTGCAAATTCTCTTCCATATGCTTTGGATCTGAGAACAACATTCAAACTGAATTGTTCTGCTAATAAATGGACAACTTTTTCCTAAAACAAAAGTGTTTTTGAAACACTTCAGTTTTTCTCCAACCTAGGAGTGAAAATATATCAAATGTGTCCAATAATATCACTACAACAATGCAATTGTTGTGCTTTGTAGAGGGAAAATGACAGAACAACAGGGATCTCCAGACCAGCTGCCTGCAGAGAAGAGCCAAGGAGGAGCTGGAGCCACATATAAGGTGAACAACAACCTTTCTGGTGACTTAGCGAGTTATGAACACAAATTAATATTTGTGTTGACATTAAAACAAGTCCATGAGTTGGGCTTAAATACCATTTAACTCTTTTTCTTTCTTGCAGTTGACATTTTTTGAGTACGAGAACTTCCTTGGAAAGAAGGTGGAGTTGTCTGGTGAATGTAAGGATGCATGGGAGAAGGCACAGAAAATTGGCTCAATCATTGTGGAGTCAGGACCGTGAGTCCTCCTATTTACTTGCATTACCATTATTAGGATTAACATGTGCTTTTTCCCGTATATGTAATTTTTTTCCTTCATATTGTCAGATGGGTTGGGTATGAGCGTCCAGGATACGCAGGAGAGCAGTTTGTGCTGGAGAAAGGAGAGTACCCTCGCTGGAGCACCTGGACCAACAGGCAGAGCAGCTTCATGCTGAGCTGCTTCAGGCCTCTCAAAGTGGTCAGTATTATCAGTGCAATATGAGCTCATGAAACTTTCTGTCAAACATGCTGAAACGTGTTTGTTTTCTTCTTCTTCAGGATAGTGCAGAGCACAAGCTGCACCTGTTTGAGAATGCAGGCTTTGAAGGTAGAAAGATGGAGATTGTTGACGATGATGTCCCCAGTCTGTGGGCTTATGGTTTCCAGGATCGTGTGGCCAGTGCTAAGGCTATCAATGGAACGTAAGATGGAACCTTAAATACTATTTACTGAAGATATTTCAATACACACATTTTTTTAAAAGAGAATTTAAAATGTGTATTTTCTAAGCATAAAACTAAATGCAGCACATTATGTGGCCCTTTCACTGTCCCAGAAATGTAATCCTTGACTCTGTCCTCATCCCTCTGAAGGTGGGTTGGATACTCCTATCCAGGCTACAGAGGGCGCCAGTATGTGTTTGAACATGGAGATTTCAAGCACTGGAATGATTGGGGAGCCACTGCACCTCAGATCCAGTCCGTCCGACGTGTGCGGGACATGCAGTGGCACAAGAGAGGGTGCTATATTGCCCCTTCCCCTTCCCCTACACCTCCCAATCCTAATCCCAATCCCAATCCCAATCCCAATCCCACTCCAAACCCCAACCCCAACCCAAAACCCAAACCCAATCCTAACCCCACTCCCGACCCCAAATCCCAAACTCAACCCCAACCTTAGCACCAGAACTCCAGCACCTCCTACACCAACTGGGACAGGACTCAAAGTCCCCAGTCTCTCTCCTGCACAACCTCTTAGGCTATAGAATATCTGACATGCTCTTTCTGACTACTGGAACTGAATTGACAGTAATTGAACATTTAAATCTGTTGGGAATAAAGGTTTTGGCCCTGATTTTAGTTGTCTGAAAATAATTGCATGTGTTCTCTTATTTATGCATCAAGAAATGGGTTTTATTGAATTATTTGTATTGTAATGGTTGAGGCAGTTAGGAGCCATATTTATGTTAAATCTATTTTTACAAATGATAATTAAGCTATATAAGTGTATTTTATTGCATATCTCAGTCATGCACAAATTCAACTCAGCACAAACAGAGGACCAAGAAGACCAAAAGAAATCTATTGAAAAGCATACTGAAATAATGATCTAAACATGACAACATAATGCTGAAAGCTATTTGATATCAGAAGACTCTTCTTCAAATTACCCCAATAAATTGTGAAAAATACTGAAGAAACTAAATGTAATCAGTGGAAAATATTAAATACTGAATGTTTTTATCATTTTTCAACAGATATTAGATATTAGATTGAGGCTAATTGTCACCACAAAAATAAAGCCATTGCACACGGACAGTCAGCTTTTAGACTTTAGAATTCCCTAATTGTATTTTTAAAGGGAAGGCTGAACTAAAATTGAATAAAGAGAAAAGAAAAACTCTTCACTTCCAAAAAACCCCACCCTGCTGTCAGCATGCATGCATTACATCATCTGTGGTTCAGAAGAAGGTCTTTAAGTCTGAGATAATTGAGAACAAAACGCATGCATTACAATCTAGGGTACATTATTTGAAAGACAGAGGTTATTACCAAGGAGAGGCTAAAAAAGAGCTACTGCTGCCTCACAGCGAGTTAATGGTTATTAGAGCTTTTAATTACTAAGGTGCAAAAGAAAAGCTATGTCATCCTCTTAAATCTTTCATCTTTTGTGGGTCCCCCGACTCTCTGGGTTCTTTGAACTTAATGACCGGAACTTTACTGTCAAACTAGTGACAGTAAACTAACAGATAATCCTTTTACGAAATAAAATAAAATCGTATCCTTTTTTGGCACTCAAATTGTGTTATCACTGTTACATATTAAATTGATCATCCCTTATTGTTGACAGTTTTCTCTATAAATAAAATATTTTACGTTGCACGAATCTTCCAGGCTTTCCTTTTTGAGGGAAACGAGTGAGGGAGTGCCAAAACATGAGTCATTGGTTAAAATAACAAGTAGACCCGCCCATACAATTCCAGTCATCCAATCAGGCTCCACCTTCATTCAGCAGGCTCGAGAGGGTGGCGACAGACGCGCAAAAATTTGAAAGTTGACCGGAAACAACGTTGATAGGGAAGAAAGCTTAGCATGTCAATGTTTCCGAGAATATAAAATACAGTTTTTAGCTACCTGCATGGCACTTAGGTGAGTATTATATGGTTCTGTTTTGTGTCTGTAAACATAACCGAACGCAATCATGAAGGTTGCGTTAACATTTTGTTTGTTAGTAAAGTTAGCAAACGCTAGCTAACGTAGCATGCTAAATGGACCCCTTGTTGACATTTGTTAACATCCTCAATTGGTCCTTCTTCAAACCTAATTGTACATTCTGAGGTGTCGTCATTTTTACACATTAAGTCTATTCTTTCTTTCACTTAGACCTACTGTTTGTAATCCTTAGGTTACCTGTTGTTAAGAAACGATGTTGAAGTTTAAATATGTGAGTCAGGGAAGCCTGAAAACGATGTCTTCCTCCTCGGACCCCATCACCATCCGCTGCTCACGACTCAATCAGGTGTTTCAGGTAAAGTGAAGTAGTGTGTGGCGTGGCTGTCCTGAAGCCCCGGAGCCTCTCTCAAACTATTTGCACAGTTTATAGCACCACCACCAAGTATCTGACTTCCTTGTTTATGTGTGTCTGTGTTGTCCTCAGGGCCGAGTGGGCCTGAGTGGGCAGCAGGGAGGATGCACTTTAGGTCGGGAAGAGTTTCTGGAGGCTCTCCTGCTGCTGTACCAAGAGTGCAGCTCACCAGAGTTGATGAAGATACACCATGTGGCAAATTTTGTCAAGAAGTGTGAGCAAACATTTTCATACACAAAGAAGTCTTGTTTATTTGTTCGGCCTGTTAGTATTTTGCCAGTCAAATGAGCTGATAACAGGCTGCATTGCAATAGTTGATGTATTTATTTCAGCTTTTCAAATGTACTGTGTGATGATTTTTAGCGTTTTTTTTTGTTACTGTCTCTAGTTCTCATGTGAATTGCACACCTTGACAGCTCCATAAAGATAATTCAAAAATAAAATACAGATTATATAATAAGCAAATCAAATTTGGCGGCAGTAGCTCAGTCTGTAGGGACTTGGCTCGCCGGCTCAAGTCCCGGTGCGGACCAAATACGGAAGTTGGTCTGGTAGCTGGAGAGGTGCCAGATCACCTCCTGAGCACTGCCGAGGTGCCCTTGAGCAAGGCACCAAACCCCCTCCCCACCATCAGCTCTGGAGCGCCCGCTGTGGGCAGCTCCGTCACTCTGACATCTCTCCATTAGTGCATGTCCATAGGATTCTGTTTGTGCATGTGTGTATATTTCAGCCTATGTGTGTTGCATGACTTACAGAGTGTAAAAACTGAAATTTCCCCTCGCGGTATCAGTTAAGTAAATCTTAATCTTAAATCAACTTTTAACAATATTACTATTGTATTTCCAACACCATTCAAATGGTGTATCTAAATGTTCCTACTATGTTCACAATTTTACAATCCTAGCATGTATTTCACAGAGTTCATCCTCAGTGTTTGTGTCTGTCTTTCAAAACAGTTTCTGAGGTGGTCTCTGAGCTGCAATCCCTGCAGCCTTTGCTTCATGACTTTGAAGTGTGCGGTGTGGTTGGTCGTGGGTACTTTGCTGAAGTCAAAGTAGTCCGGGAGAAGGCTACTGGGGATGTTTGTGCTCTGAAAATTATGGACAAGACACTCTTACGCACTCAAGAAAATGTAAGATTCATATTTTTTTTTAGTAATTTAATGAAATGATGTTTGAATGTTGAACTAGACAGAAAATTTAGAAAGTGTTTTCCCCCATTTTTTACATTTATGATTTGATTTATCTACATAATAGTTGGCCTTTGTAGCACATCATTTTTACACAGGAAAACCGAATGTAAAACTAATGGAGAAGACTGTGTTCAGTTTAATAGTTCTGTTACAGTGGCCTGGTATTGTGCATGCTGTCTCACTGTCACACTGTCATGTCTTACTGAGACAAGAAGCCATTGTTGATGTTGTTAGTACCACTTCTGCTTTTCTTGCAGGGATCATTTGAAATACTTTTGGGCAAGAAGGCATACCCTGTTTTAGCGTTTCTCTCAACCAGCATCAAGGGCTAAAAGAAAAGCTTGATTGCTGAAAAATACATAATAGATAAATGCAAAATATCATCAAAAACTTAGACAGATTTCTGAAAACCTTGATCAATTCATTCAAATGAACTAGAGATGAATAAATAAAAAACATCAACACTGCCAAATATAAACTACAAGACTGTCATTACTTGATCAAGATGAATAACACGAATATGATAAATTAAAGAAAAGCATGTACAAAATGGTATATCTGAGACTCAAAAAGTTTTACACACATATGTAAGGTGTTCTTTTTCACTTTTCTTCATAAGCTGCTTAACTTGATATCCTGTGTTGCAGTCTTCAAAAGGCCCACTGGAGGGTGCTGTATCATTGAAATAGAAATCTGGGTACATTATTTCACAGCTGTGCACTCTGGCATGTGACTAATAGAACAAATCTGAGTCAGAATAGTACATGAGCTGCGACAGGGAAGAATCTGGAGAAAGCAATACAATAATCAACTCGTATGAACAAGAAATGTTTTGCTCCTGCCACCTGTCACTGATTTTCAAATTTCCACTAAAACTAAAAACATGAACTGAAGCTCGGAAAAGAGTGCATGAATCCTTGTTGTTAAAATGTTATAAATGTGAATTTAGTTACCATGCAGTTAAAAAGAAAAATTAAGTACATTTTAGATTTCATGTTCATCCTTCTGAAGCCCCCAAAACAGTTGCTGCACAGTAAAGATGTGTTGTACCTATTTAATGTTGGTATGTTGATTGCAGACCTTGTTAATCTTTCTCAGGTGGTTTTCCATGAAGAGGAGCGGAGGATTCTAGCTCTGAACAGCAGTCCATGGATCCCTGAGCTTCTCTATGCCTTCCAGGATAAAGATAATGTCTACCTGGTGAGACCGTAGAGTCTTTTTTCTGACCTCGTGGAGCGACTTACATTACATTTGATTTACACTCGCAAAATGTTTTAGGGGCTTTTTATAAATTCCTGTAGGCAGAAGTAAGGTGTAGATAATCATGCTGAGCTAATGGCATACACTGTGACGTACTTCGTGGGTGTTATTAATTTATCTTCTACAAAATATTTTATCAAACTATACATTTATGTCAACGATGTAATATTCTAGGTGTCAATATCTAAACCAAGAATAAAGTATTACAAAGGCTGTATTTTAAAAGAGTTACTGTTATATTCCACATCTTAAACCATATTTATCCACCTTTCAAAACTCCAAAGCTGGTGTCAAAGGGTCCTGCTATGGCTTTTAAAGAAAAGCTCAGGTTGTCCGTTTTTACATTCACATTTCCCTGTTTTTCTATTCCTGTATGTATTTTTGCACCTAAATACTAAATATTTTATTTTACAAAAAAGTGTACAAGACAGCTGTGTCGGAAGGTGTATTTTGTCCTTTCTGTCACAGCTGTGGTTTCCATAATGAGACTGATTGAACAGTTGGATCAGTCAGAATAGTACATGAGCTGCTGCAGGAAGGGATATGAAGTGAGCAAGGAAAAGGAACAATTTGTATGAAGGAAAAGTGTTTCGAAATCTGCTTTAGCAAGCTTCTTTCAAAAGACCTTCGAGCAACTTCGGAGTTTTGTTAAATTCGTATTAGCTGGCACTATGGCAGATAAGCGCCACAAGGGTTTTTTCAAATTCCTGACCACTTTCATTGCTTGCACTCCACTGCACAGATCTCGAACCTAGCTTACTGCAAACATAATCACAGTGTCAAAACCTAGAATCTACGACTTTTGAAGAAGTCAGAAAAATACAACTTTCAAGAGCTGAGCTAATGTTTCCTGTATATCACACGTACATAAAAACAGCCAATGGGTCTCTGTAGTTACTGTGGAGATTCAGAATGAATATTCTGCTTATTTGACTCTGGTGAAGGAGCTAATCAGGCAGATTTACCAAACTGTTAATGTCCATACAATAGCCTAATTGTCAGCCATAAAACCCAGTGTCAATTTCCTCCCCACAGAGAGCATCCAGTGTTTTTATCCTGAAGACTATTCAGCTCACAAAGAATCTATAATTTCTCTGATGGCCTGTAGACAACACACATTTTCTGCACAGCCAAGCCTTTAACTGTATCCTGCGCTTTGTTTTTCATTCCCTCACCCCCTCTTATGCCTCCCTTCTTGCCCCCCCCCCCCCGCATATATTTCACTAATTCTTCCTCCTCCTCTCTTTTCACTCCCCCTCTGTCTCACCCTTCTCCCTAACTGAGCATGGAGGAAAATACAAAGCATCCATCTTTATCTGTGTGTCAGAGAGGCACCCAGTCTCCCTGTTGCTAGGTAACACTGGAGAATGCTCCCCTTCATTCAGACTCGCCAACCATTCATGCACCAGGGGCACTCGCCTGTTATGGCTGTATGGCTGCAACCATATAGCTCAAATCAGCCTGACCAATGACTTTCAGCTCAGAATGCAAAAAGCCGAAAAAAGAAGCTGTCGTTAAACGTGCCCAAGGTTGATTTAAAAAACTTCGCACATCCTTGATGACGTCTCGGAGTTTTTTCTTGTTGTTGTTTTGGCATGTTTCTCTTACTGTTAACATCTTGATTTAACTCATGATCAAAGATACAGATGCAATTGCAGTCATTGTAGGTGTGTTTTTAGCCACTGAAGACCCATCCTTTGACTGCAGTATCACTGAAAAATCTGCAATAGTAGCCTGTGTTGCATAACTGAATCCATAATGAGAAACTCTACCATACGAGCTTAAGCTGAATATCGCGCTTTGATGTTGCCTCAGAAACACACGTGCTTCTTCACTTGTTGCTTTGTGTTTACTCCTAAATATAAACTCATCTATAGGCATTCATAAATGTTTCAATAGCACGTGATAACTTAATTATAAAAACAAATCACATGATTATTCCATTTTCAAGTGTTAGCCGTAGTTTTATAATTATCACTGCATATTTATGTGTTTGCAGGCGATGGAGTACTTGCCAGGCGGCGACCTGATGTCCCTGCTGAACCGATACGAGGATCAGTTTGATGAGTCTATGGCCCAGTTTTATTTGGCTGAGCTGGTGGAGGCCATTCATGCTGTTCACCTGCTTGGATACGTCCACAGGTACAACACCAGCTACTAAATTCAACCTCTAAATGATGAAGGGTTGACGTTTTAAGGCTTTGAGGAATAAAGCAGAAGTATGGAAGTGGAGCAAGACATCCTAATTTGGTTTTTGTGCTCTTAAATCCTCCCTAAATATAATTCTTTGTTTGCCTTTTGTTTTCCCTTGAGGGCCAAATGCTCATAAATCAGAAAAACATTAACTGGACATGAGAAATGAAGCATTGTAATTTAACCTGAAGCACTGAGTGTGACTTATGTAACACAAAAACATTGCTGGAGTTTACAAATGTATTCCATTATCATCAGAGTGGCAGACATATAACAGTACTCAGGCTACAAACAGCTCTGTAAAAGCACTATCAAATCTCTTCTAAACTATCCACTTGCAGAGATGTCAAACCAGAGAACGTTCTCATCGATCGGACGGGTCACATTAAGCTGGCAGACTTCGGATCAGCTGCCAGGCTGACTGCTAACAAAACAGTAAGTAGATTACAGAGTTTGCTGTTACTTCAATGTGATTCACAGTGACATCATTGTGTTTTATTAATGTGTATCCAGGTTGCTGTTTCCACTATGCCTGTTGGGACTCAGGACTTTTTGTCGCCCGAGGTTCTGGGAGCTATGAATGGGGGCTCCAACAACTCCTATGGTGTTGAATGTGACTGGTGGTCTCTTGGAGTCATAGCCTATGAGATGATTTATGCAAGGTCACCCTTTTCTGGTGGCACTTCTGCAAAGACAATCCACAACATTCTCAACTTTCAGGTACATCAACTGTCATCTAGCCCTTCACTGACATTTGTCACTCGTTAAATGTGATCTATGATGGTCTATAAGTATATCCTTATATCCTATAAGTTCAATTAGATAAACAGTCTATTCCCCGTCCCCAGTTCAATAATTAAAAATGTCTGAATAAGGTGAAGAAGTATCTGCTCAGTCTGTGCATAAGGTATTGAATCTATATCTTCAATGTTTTTGCCACCAGCGGTTCCTTAAGTTTCCAGAGGAGCCTCGAGCCAGTAAGCAGTTTGTAGACCTGCTGCAGCGATTGCTCTGTGGAGCTAAAGAGCGCCTGGGTTTCCAGGGACTCCGCTGTCACTCTTTCTTCTCTGGTGTAGACTGGAACAATTTAAGACAAGGTGAGGAGATTCTTCTCCTTTGAGATCCATTTTTCTTTGCTTAATTTGGCTCATACTCACACAGAGTAGCTGTATCTGCATTGCTGGACAGATAATGTAAATATATATATTGTTTATGATTTACATTATTGTTCTGTGTGTGTGTGTGTGCTTGCACAAAACCACCAAACAGCAGTTGTGTAGTGTTGTCCCTACGTAGTAAAATAATGAGATCCTGTGTGCTGTTGGCGGTAGGCCAGCTCTTTACTGAGGAGGAGAACGGGAGGGAGGCAGATACGAGAAGCGATGCAGACAGAGTAAAGATCTGCAACTCATCTGCCTTTCATCGGATACAGCACAAATCTTTAACGCCAGCGACACACACCACCCACACTCACCGCGACGGAAATACACGTGCTTTTGTTGCACGTAATTGTTGCCATCAAATGTGAGACACTGCTCTGAATGACAAGGAGTTTGACATTTTCACCTGAGCAGCTGTGGAAAAACATGCATTCATAACATAACATAGCATAACATTCACATTTATGGGTGTTTTCAGTGAAGCACATTAAAAGAACCGCAGCCTTCGAGTGGTTCTGTGACTCAAACAGTATAGCTGCAGGGCTGATGAGTGTTTATTTTTGCTGTGCTGAATACCTTATGGCATCAGATGAATAAACCTCCTTTTTTGTGATTCCGGAGCAATTATCAAACATTGTTATGCCGGCCACTACCTCTGAGCTGTTTTCTGATATAATGCTCCTATCAGTGCTGAATATTAATTAATCTAATTGTTTGTTTAAAATCCTCCTGATTATGCCCAGACTGTGATACAGTGATTGAAATGTAGGAGCTTTTTGTGCTTGTGTTTGCTGAAGAGGAGATTTATTGATTTATTTTTTCCTGAATGTTAATTATTTAGATTCATTTTCTTTCATTAATAGATATGAAATACAATTCAGAATCATTAAGATGAATGATTTATTTCAAAATGCAGATTTGGTGAATTGATTATTACACACTAATAGAGCTTTCTACTTCAGCGTTGCTCCAGCTGATTAGCTTGCTCTGCTGCAGTGAGGGAGAGTGAGTGAGAATGTGTATGGGAGAGAGCAAGCAAGGAGGGGAGAAGGAGGGACAGAGAGGCAGCATGTGCATCAACGCGCGACTTACCGCACTCTAGGCTCCCACCACTGTGCGCCGTTCCTCCTCCCTTCCTTTCTCTCCCCCTTCTCCTTGTTGTGTTTTTTTTTTCTTTTCCAATATTTTCTTACTAGTTTATTGGTTGCTGCTTCTTTTTTTCCCCTCCTCACCCTCTCTTACTTCGTCCTCTCAACCCTTCTCCTGCAGTTCTCCCGCCTTTTGTTCCTGCATTGCATGCTGAAGATGACACCTCTAATTTTGAGGAGCCGGAGCAGGCAGCCCCCCGGCCAGCCTCAGCAGCCCAGCGAGGAGCTCTTCCAGCGGGCTTCCAGGGCAAGGATCTGCCTTTTTTAGGCTGGTTCTTCAGTAGAGCGTTGACGACATTGGCCAAAACTGAGTAAGTGCTACCTGTTTACTCTGTATTGTTTGGCTTTTCTTTCAAATACAACCCCTTTTTTCCCTGTAAGCAATGCAGAGACCTGCTGCATACATCTCTCCAACACACCTTTGTCGATTTACCACTGTTATGTTAATTTACTCCTTATTATGATAACAAGAGCTATTTTTTTGATGACCTAGTGTTGTGCCCTGGGCAGTACGTGTGAGTCCCTGTCATTAGTGTTGTGCCTGTAAGGGCCAAAATGGGTTTGGCCATATGCTGTGTCAGACAAGGAGCGAGGGAGGGAAGGGATCTCCCTGTTCTCTGGCGCTCTCTTCCTTTGATTCCTTATTTTCTGCTTCAGGATGGCACTAAGTTGATCTGATGCATAGATAGATTAAGTGAATGGACGGGAGTATGTGAGCTGTCTTTATCTTGCCATTGGCGCTGATTGGTATGCGGCTGAGTGTGTAAATGAGGTTTGCTGAGAGGTGGAACCCCAGACATAGACACACTCCCACCTCGCTGCTGTTATTGTGCTTTTTCTGTCACAGTGCTGCATAATGGGGCTCCTGACTTTTACAGCGTGCGTTTGGGATGGTAATTATCCCTAATGGTGTTTGGCTTTTTAACCTCTGATTATAATGCATGAGACCGGGTTTCATTTGTGTAGCCCTGTGGCAGTGCACTAGCAGGTTAATGGTCCTGGAGAATGCGGATCATGACAGCAGCAGTAAGAGAAGGGAAGAAAAAACGCTTGCAGATTAGACAGGGAAAAGGATGAGAGCTCAGATTGGGGGAGAAAATCTATTTCTATGGTTACAACCGTGATGTTTTTTTTCCCTAGTCCCCACCCCCATCTTTACCAGTCTCCTCTCCTCCTCTCCTTTTTCTCTTTTTTTTTTCTAATGTCTCTGTCCCTTGCTGTTACACCATCAGTCATCTGCTCATGGTTTTTAACTGAAGCCAGTCGTTGCCTTTGCTGCATTTGATCGAGAAGGGCTCATAGAATGTGTGAGGTGTGTGTGTGTGTGTGTGCACTGTGCATGCATGTGTGCTTCCACATTCTTCATTAAAATACAAAGAAGGAAAAAGAACTGAATGAACCTAAACACAGCAGAAATGAATTGCTAATCATTTGTTTTGGGGGATCCTGCTGCTTTTTTTTTTTTTTTTTCATTCTGTGAATTTGTCTGTCTGAGTCCTCATTAAAAAAACACAACAACAAAATCTCTGAACAGCTTGCTATCCGTTGTTTAATGTCAGAAAATTATTCTATGAAGTTGGCTTTAACATCTGTTTCTTTAAAATTCCTATAAAAATCAACATTTAAAGGCTTAGAGACGAGACAGTAGAATTTCAATGTGTTTTGGAATATGTGGTCGTTAACAGATTTAAAACATATCCTTGTTGTTTGTGTCAGATGGTCAGTCCTTTAACATTTTTCTCAAGAGTAGGGTATCTTGGTATCTGCTGACCATATTATTTCTCCTGCCAAATAGCCATGGTTTTGGATGTTCATAGTCACCAGAGATTGATTCTTAATAATATTTGACCAGTTATACAAATTTGCAGGGAACATTTAAGGTCTCTGTGGAGTCTTTGTTTTAATCATCCTCTCTGGCCTTTCCTCCATCAGTCAAAAATTAAGAAACAAGGAAAAAAAAGTATATATGACAAAGACATTGTGAATATTGCTACCTTTCCACAGCAGGTAAGCCTCCTACGACATATAGCAACCATGAGTCCCTAATCTAGCACCACCCAATGGACATTAATGATACAACCTGTAAACGGTTCCATTGGCCATATGTTTTTCTTGTAGGGGTGCGTTAAAAGGGTTTTTTCTGAAGTTGTCAGTTTGTGTTTTAACTCTTTAATCGATTAAGATGAAAATGTACAATTTTGAAACTATATAATTTAAAAAAGTTATTTTAATGAGAAGGGTTGTTTATAAGGCTAGTATTGGTTTCTCTAAGGCTGATTCTGTGTTTTTATATTTTTATGCTTAAACACAAGATTAACATAAAAAAAAATCTATTGAGGTGTCATTTTATGCTCTGTGTCTTAATTATTTGTTTCTGTATGCATTTTCTTTAGTCTATTCATGGATGAATGAATGTGTTCCATTGTTTACCTGATCAGTGCTACAGACTTTCTGTGTGTCTGCCTCTCCTTCAGTCATGCAGCGTGCATGGCTGAAGGAGAGGGAAAAAATCCATCCATCCTCAATGCCCACTCAGAGTTTAAATTCAGCACTTCTTTCACAAAAAATAAGGGAAAAAATGCCGACTTAATGCAGAAAAACCCCAGTTAAGGATATTTTAATTGTCATATTATCAGACAGTACAGTAATCTCTCCCAAAGCTGCTCAGCTGGGCTCTGATGAACTTTAATACATTTTGCTGTCTAACATCAATTTTTAATTGGCACAGATTCAGCTCTCTGGAACGCCTGGTGGTTTAATCTTAAATCCTGTGAAAAAGACTGCATATATGGTGTTGCTGTTTTTGTTGAAATATGAGAAAAATGTGCTTGTGTGTACTCTCTCTCTCTCTCTCTCTCGTATATATTTACTGTGTTTGTGTGTGTGCTCTCTCTCTCTCTCTCTCTCTCTCTCTCTCTCTCTCTCGTATATATTTACTGTGTTTGTGTGTTTGTTCTCTCTCTCTCTCTCTCTCTTTCTCGTATATATGTACTGTGTTTGTGTGTGTGTTCTCTCTCTCTCTCTATATATATATATATATATATATATATATGTTTGTGTGTGTCTGTGTGTTTGTGTTTCAGGGGGCTATTTCTCGATGCAGAGGCGAAAGAGAGCAGTGCTGCTTGCTTTCATGATTATTTTTAACACTGTGACTCAGGCTGAGTCAAGTTTATTAAAGATCCCTCTGCGGTACTCTGGAACTCATTCATAACCATTCAGACCCATTCATTTATTTACAACACTTATATTTCAGAGTTGTCTCTACTCTGGATATAATTAAGATCACACAGTCAATTTTCACCCTTCTCTTGACCAAACGATGAGAGCACAATCACATATCCCCTTACATAAACCAGAGAAACGGGTGCGTCAGTGCTCACTCAAGCACTCTGGGCAGACTAACCCAAAGCAAAAGCATCACCAAAATTCTCCTGTCATATTATTTTGTCAGGCAAACAGCAATTATTAAAGGTCTGAGCTGCTTTTTTGCTCATGTAGTCTGTTTTTTCACTTCTCCTCTTTCTCACTTCAAAGCGCTCTATTGAATATTGTCTAGATGTATTGTTATGAACACATACTCCTCACAGTTCTTTCCATTTAAAGGAAACTGGAGTCGATGCATATTTGAACACTCCCTTTCTCTGTCTGTTGCTCATTTTTGATGTGTGGGTGTTGTGTCTGCATTTCAGCCAAATTAATTATAGCTCTTACACTAGCGAGGCTCGCTGTTGTGTTTGACAGCTCTATGCCATGATATGCGATTGTTGAATATCTTGTCAGCGGATGTGTTTAGGGATTTTCTGATATTTTGAATTTATTCTCTTAAAAAACAGGGATATATATATATATATATATATATATATATTTTTTTTATTATTTTTTTTTTAAAGACCAACATGATCTTAGTTTGTTGAACTTGTGTTACTGACCTCTTAAGACAGTGTGATGTGCAATACTTAAGATTCTGACTTAAAGAGTAATAAAGAATATTAAACATGTTGCTCTCCTCAGGGCAGTGTCGGCAGCCCTCAACTCTCCTGCGAAGACCAACTCCATGGAAAAGAAATTACACATTAAAAGCAGAGAACTACAAGACACTCAAGACAAATGTCACAAGGTGAGGTTATACTGTACAGTTCACTTACAAGCCTTTATGATCAACAAAGCAGGCTTTTTAAAATGTAAAAGCAACTAACTCAGTCAAGCCAGAGATGGAAGAAATAAGTGTAATATTGGCTGAATGGAAGCTGTAGAATTGTATTTTTGTAGTTCTATATTGTTGCACTTTGTTTAAAAAAAAAAAAAAAATCCTCCTTGGGATTTGTTACTAGACGTCTTGTGTTTATTCTGGCTGACTGGCTGAACATGGATCAAGTAGGCTTCTGTTGTTGCTGTATGATGCCAAGTTAGGCTCGTTGTGTGTTCAACATTACTACTACCGTTTAAAACATTCTGAGTTGGTTTAAAGGTTGGGTATATCATTAGAATGTAAGGTCGTTTCTGTTTGCTTTAAGGCGTCAGTTCTATCAACCAATTAACATCTACAAACCTGGTAAATTGTTCACCTTCAGTAAAGTGTCAGTGATTGTGGTAATTGATCAATTTTCTCCGGTGGATTCAGATGGAGCAAGAGATCTCCAGGTTCCAGCGTAAAATGACTGACCTGGAGTCAGTTCTCCACCAGAAGGATGTGGAGTTGAAGGCGTCTGAGACTCAGAGGGGCATTCTGGAGCAAGACCTAGCCACCTACATTACCGAGTGCAGTGTGAGTCATAATAACAACTGGCCGTCTGTGTGTGTAGGGTTTAACAATATAATGAAACGCTAAACTTTAAAAACTTTGGGTCTTTGCTGCATTGGTCTACCTGCATCTTGTTGCCTTCTAAATGTTTATTAAAAAAAAAAGTATTGTTTTGAACAAACAGCCGCCTTGATTTTGTGTGCACGTTTGTTTGTAGAGCCTCAAGCGCAGCTTGGAGGAGGCACGTGTGGAGGTCTCCAGAGAGGATGACAAGGCCTTGCAGCTGCTGCACGACATCCGTGAACAGAGCAACAAGCTGCAGGAAATTAAAGAGCAAGTAAGTAAATATTCTCATTCCAAAGACACACTGTCGCCTCCTGCTCATCCTGATTATGATATGGTGCATGCAGAGATGAATCTAGATACATTTAAAGGTCTTCATGCTGAAAAATGTGGTGAAAGCAAAAAATATATATACTGTACGATACATTCTCAAAGCCATCATCTCATTTGAGGAGAGACTTTCTGCAGGTTCCTATTCAGGCTATCATAGCTGATAAAGAAGGAACTGAAACAGCAGGTAGATTACACTTTACTCAGTGCATCTCTGTTACACAGGCAGGGCTTCCCCTCAGAGGACTCCCCTGTCCTCAGCTCACATTAAGGTCATCTCTGCAGATGGCTTTCCTGCAAGGTACAATCTGGAGAGGACTTTGATCTTTACTCAAGAGATTTGTTCACTATCTTCCCCGGGGAATGATGCATTTACAGTTTCTAACACTAAGATTTCTGTCATGGACTATTCTTTAATTAGGTAAATATTTATACAGAAAAACATTCTTTACTGTAACAAATGAGAGCTTTCTTCCCTGATGATTCAAACCCAGTCATGTAGTCTTATTTACCCACTGCTCATTGTTGTTGGTGACTGGCTCCCTAACATCAGTCTTAAGAGTTTTCCATTGACTAAAGCGGTTATTTGTCTTTCACTTGACATCTCAGTAGAGCAAAGTTGTAGCTACAGCTGTAACTTTGTAATCCTCAAGTTCTCATGTTGGATTTTGACACTTTAAGGGATGAATGTTCATTGCAGCAGGGCACTGCAGGGCCTATAGATCACTGCACAATGAAACAGATTCAGCAGATCTGTGAAGTATGTCTCTGTCTGTATAGCGTTGGCAGCAGTTGTTGCTTGCGTTAAAAGCCCTGTTCCACTGTTCAGGCTGTGCCAAACAAAACCCCTGCTGCTGTTGTTTCTTGTCAAAGCAAACACATAAAACCCCGCTGGATGTTTTCAGACTAAGTCGTATTCCTCTCCTTATATAAAAAAAAAAAAAATCAAGAAGAGAGAAAAAAACATATCCTCTCACAAAGAAGACAACAGTGATTTGTCCCCAGTTTGTACAGAATTAGTGGGATCACAGCCTGAAGTCCCTCGGCATGTTTAAAAACATAAAATGTTCAATAGACAACATTTGGTTGTATCAGGAATACAAAGTGCTGTAGGAGGGGTATACTGTAAGTATACGTCACCTCATATGCTCACCAATTGTTTCCCCCACATTGATGTCTACTGTTTTTGAATGGTCACAGGAGTACCATGCCCAGCTGGAGGAGATGCAGGTGACCATCAGGCAGCTGGAGGAGGACCTGTCAGCCGCTCGCCGCCGCAGTGATCTTTACGAATCTGAACTTCGAGACTCCAGGCAAACAAGTGAGGAACTCAAAAGGAAAGCTGTTGAATACCAGCAGAGAATCCAAAAGGTATGATTGCACCGGATATGCTTTATTGGTTATGTTATAGAATAACTTTAATTCTATAGCACCTTTAAAAATCAAGAGTTTACGAAGTGCTTTAACACTAAGCATATATGGATTGAGAAATGGTGTCCTTAAGAGTCACTTTTTACAGAAAAAAATCCTCAGACTGAGAGCTCTTGGGGATGCTTCTGCAGGAACTTCAGGATTTTTTGGGGGAAAGTGCTGCCTCGGCTATTGTGTTGCTCTTTAGCTACTGCAAACAGGAAGTGGGTGTATTGTACTGCATCAGTCTCTGATCATTCTTTACATATATGCCAACAATTTTTCAGGCTAAAGAGCAGGGAAAAGCTGACGTGGAAGAACTTCTCTCCAAGCTAGAGAAGGTAAGAAATCTGATTTCTCAGATCGATCTACAGGCTTACCATTGATGTGAAATTTAGTCTCTTATGAGAGATTTTTTTTTCCAGACCAATTCTGAGCAGCAGGTGAAAATCCAGGAGCTGCAAGACAAACTGTCCAAGGTGAATTAATGCTTGTCTTGGTTAATTTTATTATGTAGTGAGAATTGTTTATCCAAATGTTATCAGGCATCTTATTCTCATCGGATTAATTGTTTAAATCTACAAAGAGGATCCATCTTAGTTGTGTCTTTGATAAATATGATAGCATATGTTTAACAGAATTAAAAAATTCTTCTCATCCAGCCATTTATACCCAAGAGTAGCTTTCTTTTTTGTTTTTCATCGTCTCTGTGGATAGGGATTGCCCAAGCATATCAATAAGGTTGTCTTGGGATCCACTAACAGCTTATGACCTCCTGAACTCCCGCAGGCAGTGAAAGCGAGCACAGAAGCCACTGAGCTGCTGCAAAATGTTCGACAGGCAAAAGAGCGACTGGAACGAGACCTGGAGCGCCTGCGAGGCAAAACCGACTCCAGTGACACTTTAAAACGTCGCCTGAGGGAGACAGAGGTACCTGAGTAAACTCACAGTCAGAGAATATAAAAATGTGTTGACTGCTTTATTTAAAATACAATTTTCTAACACGAGTCGGCCCTTTCCGTGTGGTTAGCCTTACGTTATGTTTCTTTGTTGTGTAAGCAGGAGGGCAGGAAGACCCTGGAGAACCAGGTAAAGAGGCTGGAGATGGTCGAGCGGCGGGAAAATAAGCTGAAAGATGACATTCAGACCAAATCTCAGCAGATCCAGCAGATGGCTGAAAAGATCCTGGTGAGAGAGCTGCAGATAAGACTTTAATACTCAACCCTTAATTCACCCCCCCCTCCTGCAGCCACCCCTCCTCTTCATCCAGTCCTCTCCCAGTCAAAATGACCAGTTATCTTAGAACGCACACACTTCTACTTAGAGAGCTCTAGCTAGCTGAGCAATCACACATGGCTTCTTGTTAACCTGTGTCTTTACAAACAACATATAAATAACTGTACCAGTGTCAACATGAACAGGGAACGCTTTAGTCGACTTCTGGATTTCAGCCTTTTCAGTGCAAGTTTCCTCCTATCTTTTGATTTTCAATTTATTTGTTATTTGAGTAAGAATATTAGAATAGCTTGAACTTTTTTTTCAGTATATTGTGCCTTCATGTATTTTGAAAATGAAGGGCTTTTGATTGACCTTTCTATGCAGTGACAGTTTTAGCTTTTAGAGACAAAAAAACAATGACACATTTTAAACATAAATGTAAGAATGTTGTAGTGTGACTTTGATTCATAATTAGATGTGATATATTTGTTTATGTTACTCCCTGCAGGAACTAGAGGAGAACCTGAGGGATGCACAGTCGACCGCCCAGAGGATGGAAACTCAGCTGACTCAGAAGGAGCGGCTTTTTGAAGATAAGATCAAGGTGTGCCAGTTTTCTGTGAACTGTATATATCTGTGAAGGTCAATTCTTAACATTGATGTTTTAATATTATTTATGGAACTTTTATACCTTCATTGTTAAGAAGGACTGTGGATTGAGTCGGAAATGGGTGAGAGAGTAGAGAATAGAGAATGACACAAGTGACGAGTGTAACCCAGGCAGCCCAGTTCTAGGACTATAGCCTCTGTACGTGGGGGGTGCAACAAAACTGCTAGGATAGCGGCCACCTCTTTATTTTATTTTTTTGGTAGTATATTTATCAGGGACAATGCACAGTATATTTAAATTACCAGTTTAAGCTAGTTGTTTACAGGTTACAGTTGAGTTAAAGGTTATATAAGTGTCATAACTCCCTGCACCCCATGTCATTTTAAATCAGTGTTGTTGTTTCTGTGAAGTCAGAGCTATCACACTTTTCCCAGCAAGCTTTGACACCGCATGAATGACTGTTTTCACATTTCTTTTTCTTTTTGAAATATGCTTTATCACATAGATATTTGCAGAATTAACGTCAGTGTAATTGTATCATATCAACATTGGTGAGTGTAATATTTGCTGTTTCTGTGTGATGTAGGTTCTGGAGGCTCAGATGAAGACTGACCTGGCTGACAAGGAGAGCCTGGAGGTCAGAAGAGCCCAGCAGGAAGAGGAGTCAAGAGAGAACTGCAAACTCATCAGTGAACAGAAAGCAGTAAGAATACACAACAGGCTTTTAATGTTATTCTTTATCTCATGTCAGGTATTTGCTGATAAAGTTCTGCAGAGGTGGACAGAAAACTTGATTAAAACCAACTAAGAAAGTGTTGAATATTGTCTCTGTTTAAGCAACAGATTATTTTATACAATCATGCAATAGAAGAAGCCACAGTCAGAGTGCTAGTTGATGTATAAGTCTTAGTTTGTTGAAGTTGTTTGACAACTTTTGGTACATTTTTCATCCTCCTGAATTTGTTCAAAGAAAAATGACTGCAAGACTCAATCAATTTGACTGTCTGTCTTTACGTTTGTTTTCATAGATAAAATGTATTGGAATCTACTGTTGGATTAAATTGCAGTATACTTCATGTTGCACTATAAAGCCTGGGCTCAAGTCCTAATCTGGTTAATGTTGTAGAATTGAGGCAGTTAAGGAGCTTTTAGAGGCAGTCAGCTGACATTGACAGGAGAAGATTCAGCCAACACCTTAATGGACTCTAATAGGATTTCACTGCAGTATAAAATTCTGTTTTTCATAAAAATTGTGCTGAGGAATTCTCTGTACACCATGACTTTTAGCAGGATTTGGCTATCAATCAAAGGTAAATGTATCCTTGAATTGGAGCCATTGATGCAATTCCCACCACCTCATTGTGTCTCCTTCTCCCTACAGACCATTAATGCTATGGATTCCAAGATGAAGAACCTCGAGCAGCGCATTGCTGAGCTGTCAGAGGCTAACAAGCTGGCCGCCAACAGCAGCATCTACACCCAGAAGAATATGTGAGTTAACTAGACCTTCTGCCCACACCGCTTTTTTTCATGAGGTCCCCCACCCACACTGTCTCGATAGCTTCATTAGTGTGAACTCACATCTCCTGCACCATAGCTGATCAGTCTCCCCTGTGTGTACACTCTGTGTCATCCCTTGGTTTTACTGGCTGTAAACAAATACTTTCATTTTCATAATAACCCAATCCAATGGAAATTTAAAAACAGTGTGACAGTGCAGCCGGGGACTTGTAGTAATGAACTTTAATAGAATGATCACTTGAACCTGCTGCTCCCCCCACATCTACCGAGCTTTATACTGTAATAAGTTCTTAATGTTCTTTCTGTGATGTTGTCACGTTGCTTCATTAGCACCACTCTCATAGAGATGTATACATCCACCATTTACAGCAGAAAGCCTCTAATACTCAATATGCCCCATCAGCTAAACTCAAACAGTATTTCAACAAACTACACAACTAGCTGCTAAATGTGGCGGATCATTTAGTAGACAAGAGCTACACTTTTCCCTCGTAAATTTGTACAAGAGCGATAACCGTACTGAAGAGTGAATATTAGACTTAAATAGGGCTGGGAGTCTTGGGTGTCTCACCACTCAATTTAGATTCTTGGGATCACGATTCAGTATTTTAGATTCAATACGATTCTGAATTAATTAATCCATAGATTCAAAGTCTATTTTTGAATAAGTACATACTTCAGGGTCTACTCCAGTCATCTGTGAGACTGGTGGAATTTCTTGTTGCTCTATTTGGCATTCTACTGAGTTAAAGAGCTAGCCTTAGCACTTACCAAAAAAACAACAACTCTAGAATTATGACTTAAATGTATCAACTGTCCCCAAACATGTCTCTGAATGAATGCCTATGTTGTACTGTAGGTGCTTAATTTGTAAAAGAGCAACTTTTTGCAAATAAGTTCATGTTATAGACTTAAAATGTTAAAAAAGGGTCAATATTTTGTTCACAACTCCAAGTGGCTGATTATGTAGCATAAACAAATATCATTTGTTACTTTTGGCTTTGGCTACAGGACATCATTGACTTTCTTAACTAACTGTCTTGCTGTGTTTTGCTGCATTTTCCAGAGAAAGTGTTCTGTTACAGAGCAGGCAATTTAAAATCCTACTACATGTGTCTTTTTTTTTGTCAGGAAAGCCCAGGAGGAGATGATATCAGAGCTTCGGCAACAAAAGTTCTATTTGGAGTCTCAGGCAGGAAAGCTGGAGGCCCAAAATGCCAAGCTGGAGGAGCACCTGGAGAAGATGAGTCAGCAGGAGCAGACCAAGAGGACCCGGCTGCTGGAGCTGGAGAGCAGGCTGCGGGAGGTAAGGCAATAGGAAGCAGATCCACTGTTCAAGATTAAGCAATTCACTTTAACTATCACACAGTGTATCCTGACATTATTACTATCCACAAAAGGGATTAAAGCATTGGATCAGCTCGCCCAGATCCCTATCAGATTAACAGCTAATTAAATCATGTAGATCTTTAATGGATTCTCTACAAAATTGCCACTGGACCCTTACACAAGCAAGCACAGCGTGGACAGCTTTCATACGTTATCTCTGGAAAAAAGTGTTTTCATTTGCTAGTAACAGGTGAGAGAATGTTTAACTATAACCAAATACAGCAAGTCCTAATCGACCTGCAGAAATGTCCTCCAGCATACACCTCATATAGTTGTGTCTGCAGTCTGACCTCCATGTGATTTAATGAAGCCTAACGCTCATACATTAATTAAAAGCAAAGAGGAAAAGTGCTTATTTTTTGCCTATTAGCGGAACACTCACTTGTAAATATTTGATACTGCGTTCAACTAAAGTTTTTTAAAGTACATACAGTTTCTTTATCCTCCTATAAAACATCACAAAATCCATTAGTTGCATCCAAAGTGAATCTATCCTATAAGACTCAGAGGTGTGCTGATGTGCCGATGTTCCCCGGTAGACAACCTGCTTGCTGGATGTCACATCTCTACCTCCACACATGCTTCCCCACTGAGATGTGATTCACAGATTGGCACTAATTGCTGGCCTCACTTATAAACACACACTTTCCTCCCCCACAAATAAATGTGTCCTCTGAGATGAGATGTTCCATCTTTGTGGAAGTCAGACACCTAAAGAGATGGTACATGTATCCCTGTGTACCTTAACTGTACTTTGATTTGAAATGCTTATTCATCGTGGCCATGCCCTTATCTCCCATTTTAAAGTAGCCTTTTATGGCATTTTGTTTCCTTCGGTCCTGATACTGCTGTTGTTATTGTTTTGTTTCTGTAAGGGGAACTTGAGTGTCCTGAAAGGCACCCTCAAATAAAAATGGATCATTTGATTGTAATTATTTCTTTGTTTGAAGACTCGTAATAAGAATTGATTTGACTTCCTTTTAAAGAAGCTTAATCAGGGTTTGACTATAATTATAACTATCATTTTATAATTTAGGTCTTAAAATGTGTTATCTTTTAAATCAAATTAGCAGAGGTCTTCTTTTTCAGAATGCACTTATTGCTCTCTCTGGTCTGTCTCATTTTTGCTCTTATTATCTACTATCTGTATCTGCTGGTTCGACTTGTGTCCCCTGACATTCTCTAATTATTCCCCTCTTCCTGCCCATTCAGCTCATAGTTCCTCAGTTTAATTGGATACTATTTCAGACTTTGCTCTTTTAATTGGTCCTAAATACACAGCATTAAAAAGAAAAGTGTATATATATTGGCTGTATCTTTTTGAAAGCAAAAGAACGCCTATATGTAGTTATACAGTTTGCAAACATAACTGTTATTAACTAAATGAATTAATAATTAATCAAATGTTTTCAAAACAGAGATGTAGGTCAAATTGTTTCAAGCAGTCCTCCATGTTTATTTAAATCAGTATTTCCATTCTCTCCAAAATTCTGAATCACCCTGATGTCCTAAAACGCCTACCATCTGGCACTATGGAGAGGTTAAAGAAAAGCTGAATATTAAATGCAAACACAATCTGTTTCAGGTCTTATTGACTCCGTGATAAACGCACAGTATTAACCCTTATCCTATTTAGATGGGCCTAGAACATGAAGAGGAGAAGCTGGAGATCAAGAGACAGGTGTCAGAGTTGACCCTCTCCCTGCAGGAGCGCGAGTCTCAGATTAGCAGCCTGCAGGCTGCACGTCTCGCCCTGGAGAGCCAGCTGCAACAAGCAAAGACCGAGCTGGAGGAGACCACCGCTGAGGCTGAGGAGGAAATCACTGCCCTCAGGGTAAGAAAAACAGATGGTAGCAGTGACTCATAGAAACACAGGTGCATGTTTACATATAGAAAAAGTAGATTTAGATAGACGTAATCTGTACTATACATGCAATAGAAAGGAAAGTTCATATGTTTCACTCTTATTTCAATAACGCTGCAGGCAATACACCACTCTTCATCGTTGAATGTAGTAGTTGCAGATGTAGTTGTAAATTTGCTTTTCATTTGCTCTTGTCTTCACAGAATCACAGAGATGAAATTCAGCGCAAGTTTGATGCCTTAAGAGACAGCTGCTCAGTAAGTTCTGCCAAAACATTTAGTCTCTGCTGCAAAATAAACTTTCAAAAGGTTTAGCGAAACCCTTGAATAAATAATTGTATTTATATAACCTTCATTTAGCCAGGTTTGTCCTCTTTGAGACCTGGCCAAGAATAGCAGCAACACACACACTGAAAGTCACACAATATGTTGTTTCATGTTTATCAGTGCTGCACTTGTAGAGGGGTGTGTTTATGCATCTACATATAGATTGTTTAGATTAATGCAATACACTCCACAAATCCGTCCCTTTACTTTTCCAATAAAATATAAAATGGTCTTTTATGTTTTTTTAAACATTAATATGATTGACCATATTCCTTCTTGAAAGTCACTAACTGATGACATTTTGAACGTTCACCTTTAGTGTACACATGAATTAGAGTAATTTTAAAGCTGTGAAAAACTTAAATAAATATCGTCCATACAGACGACTAACACCTCTCTCCACCTGTTGGTGTTGCCTCAGGTGATCACCGACCTGGAAGAGCAGCTCACACAGCTGAGTCAGGAAAATGCTGAGCTGAACCGCCAGAACTTTTACCTGTCGAAACAGCTTGATGAAGCGTCGGATGAAAGGGAGGACCAGCTGCAGCTCAGCCAGGAGGTGGACAGGATGAGAAGGGAGGTGGCTGACCGAGAAATGCACCTCAACAACCAGAAACAGGTAACACACATACTGTACACACAAATATGCTTGAAGTCTCTGGAACATATATGACCTGATACCTATAGGCCCTTTTTATTGTTAGATATTGTTTTCTTTTTTACCTTATTTATCCTCAGGTTTAAGGATTGTATTATGTAATGTTTGAGCATCATTATGATGAAACTGTAACTGTGTTCTCTTTCTGAAAATGTATAAAGACAACAATCTTGAGGTTTAACCCAAAAGCTGTGAAGGATGTTCCCATCAGTCTTGCTCTTTCGTTTTTTTTTCTCCCAGAACATTGAAACCCTGAAGACCACATGCAGCATGCTGGAGGAGCAGGTGGTGGAGCTGGAGTCCCTAAACGACGAGCTTCTGGAGAAGGAGAGGCAGTGGGAGGCTTGGAGAGGCGCACTGGAGGATGAAAAAAGCCAAGCCGAGAGACGAACCAGAGACCTGCAGAGAATATTGGACAATGAGAAGCAGAACAGGTATCGTAGACGCATACAACATACTTTCAGATATTTGACTTGAGAATGCCTGGAATATACCCTTCAGTACACATAATTGTGTAGCTTTTGTGAAACATGTTATTGTTCCATTTACAGGCTGCGTGCAGACCAGCGCAGCACTGAATCTCGCCAGGCGGTGGAACTGGCGGTTAAAGAGCACAATGCTGAGATACTAGCCTTACAGCAGGCCTTAAAGGAGCAGAGACTGAAGGCTGAGAGTCTGTCTGATACTGTGAGTTCCAAGTGTTTATGTGTAAATCTAACATTTATCTCTTCAAGTGAAGCACATAATATTTGTTTACATTCTAAAAGTGAGAAAATCAATAATGTACAAGCTTTTACATATTCCCACAGCTCAATGATCTAGAGAAGAAGCACGCCATGCTGGAAATGAACGCCCGGAGCTTACAGCAGAAACTGGAGACAGAGAGAGAGTTGAAACAGAGGCTGATGGAAGAGGTAGAGAGTGAAACGAAACTGCATAAACATACAACTCTATAGGAAACTTGTTGAGGTTTTTAAAGTGCTTTTCAGCTAAAAATGCTTTCCTGTTTGGACTGTTTGAGTTGCTCTTCCAGGTCATCTTTATACATTAACTAAAAGTTTTCTGTTTTAATCATTTAAAAGACCTCATTTGAACAAGTGTTTGCTGTTCTTTCAACAGCAAGGAAAGCTGCAGCAGCAGATGGACCTCCAGAAAAGCCACATATTCCGTCTTACCCAAGGCCTGCAGGACGCCCTGGACCAGACTGACATGCTCAAGACTGAGCGTACCGATCTGGAGTACCAGCTGGAGAACATACAGGTGCTCAATGTAATTCTTTTGCAACTAGATGATATGCAGCCGCATTTAAGGAAAGAGAGTCCTAGTTAGATATTACAAAAGTGCCTCTGATTTTGGCAAGTAGCAAGGTGTCTCATGGGGACATTCTCTGTTCTTGCGCAGAATTCTTTCAAACTTTCCTTCAGAGGTATTTTCTTCTCTCACGTGCTTTTTTTCCCCCCCTTGCTGCAGGCTGTATATTCCCATGAGAAGGTGAAGATGGAGGGGACAATCTCTCAGCAGACCAAACTCATTGACTTCCTTCAGGCCAAAATGGACCAGCCCACAAAGAAGAAGAAGGTCTGGGGGAAACATTATGATATATTTTAGAAAAAAAAGCTTGAATCAAAGAATAACTTGTGGAATTTTCTTTTGCTTATCGTTCACTTTTTCCTCACTTTCAGCAGGGTATATTCGGTAGGCGTCGAGAGGATGTGGGCACCACGACTAACGGCTCGCTGGCTCCACAGGCTCAGCCAGCTGTTCCCATGCAGTACGGTGACATGAAACTGGCTCTTGAGAAGGAGCGCTCAAGGTGTGCAGAGCTGGAAGAGGCCCTGCAGAAGATGAGGATAGAGTTACGATCCCTCAGAGAAGAAGGTCAGTCTTAGTGTTACTGCGGCAGATAAGGGACAGGCTCTATCATCTCAATTCTTGCTGGCCCTAGAATATACTCTGCAGCTTAGCCTGGATTATCATTCTTCCACAGAGAGGGGAATATCTCTTGTGTAATCAGTCACTTACTATAAAACTTGGCTTTTAACTGTTAATGACACAAAGTCAGAGGTGATTTAACCCTAGTAATCATTTTTCCATGAAAACTCATGACACAATAAAACTAGATCTGCCCTCTGAGATGAGAAATAACAACCTAAGCCAGTTGAGGAAAACCTGTGTTGTGCCTCCTCCCTTATCTTTTCCCAGACATCTTTTAACATTGTTGCCATGGCAGCCTCTTGCTCATTACCTACACCCGCCAGGTCCTATGAGATTCATTTCAGAATCTATTATTTTTTTTGCTATTGGAGCCAGATACTTCCATCTTAATGGCTGCACAAATCTAATATTAGGTCGTTTTATTTGTTTATGGTGATACAGCGGCTCATTTCAAAGCCCAGGAACATATGGCTCCTTCCACGCCGGCTCAGGCTCGACATCAAATCCTAATGTCAGCTATTGTCAAATCTCCAGAACATCAACCCAACCCCAGCAGCCTTCTCAACCCCTCCACCCGCTGCAAGGAGACCTCCACCCCTGAGGGTGAGTCACACACGGACAAAATAAAAAACAGAACTTAATGCTTCCCACAGCCTGAATTGAACCAATGATTTCCTGGTGTAAGGTTTCTCTCACAGCAGTGATCCATTTATACAGTCAATGTCAACACAAACAGACTCTCTGTTCACTGATTGTGTCTGTGTGATGTGTCATGTGTGTATTCTATCTATGGCCTGTCTCATACAGCAGGATTATGAGGTTTAAAAGAGTTGGATAATTTAGCTATGCACATGTTAAACCTGAAATTCGCTCCAAAAAAGGGAATTGACTTAAGTTTCGGGTTACATTCACTGTGCATTTATCCATTTTACATTGTAATCCTGCTTGGGCTTGAATCACAAAGTAAGAATAGTGGATTAGCCAGGTTACATCGGTCTTAATCCAGGCTTTCCTGTATCACAAAGCTATAGTGCTTTTTTTCTGCAAGGTTGATCACTATGGCAACTGAACATTTAGCTGGTTCAGTGAATTGAATCAAATGTGCAAACATCCCATTTCTTTTAATAAATTGTTTTAATAAATGGAATAACTATTCAAGATGAATCCTTTAAATTGCAAAAAATATATATTTTACAAAACCAAAAAGTGTATTAACCATAGCGGGCACGTAGATTTATGATTTATCAGAGACACATGTTTGTGGCTACTTCCTTTGTGATGCAGGCTGCTCACTGTCTGTGCTCTTTGGTTTCATGTAGCTGTTGTTAGACTGCTGTCTCCTTTCTGTCTCTTTTCCCTTGCTCCTCACAGAAAAGAGGAGGGTCACCTTTGAAAGTAAGTTAGCAGTCATCACAGAGTGTCTAAGAACATGCATGATGTCATCCACATGCATGTTTTACTGTAGACATCATGCTCATGTTATACTGTGCATCTGTCTTGTCCTGTTAAACTGAAACGTTGACTTTACTCTTGAAAGTCAGGCTCTGACGTTCCTGGAATCATGGTTTAGATTGAATACGGTTTAAGTGGTTGTTTTTCACCCTGAAACATTTAAATGCATCCCATGTTCATTGGCATTCATAATCTGAATGATTCTGATTGACTTTATTAGTAGACCAGAACTTTGATAATGTTATTACATATCTAGTTATTCATTCATTATTCAAATTGCCCCTCTGAATCTCGTGGCCTTGTTGCTGACTTCTGGGGATATTTCTGCTTAGTACAAAATATTTTGAGGATCTCTTATTTTTCTTCATTAACTTGCACCTCTGTCCACTTCTTTCTTTTTTTCACCGCAGAGTTTGGTCGTCGTGTAAAGGAGAGAATGCACCATAACATCCCTCATCGCTTCACTGTGGGCCTGAACATGAGGGCTGCCAAATGTGCCGTCTGCCTGGACACTGTGCATTTTGGACGACAGGCTGCCACTTGTCTAGGTTTGTAGTCTGCACTCTGGCTGGCAGCGCTGAATGTGAAGATATTTAAAAGGACACATTTGTGATCAGCCTTAACAAAAAAACTAAAAATAGTTCTTGTCGTGAAGCCAGCATATTAGGCTGCATTCACACTGCAAGCCTAATGCGCAATGCTTTCTTGTTTGGCTGTTCACACTGCTTTTTAAATGTGGCCTGTATCAGACTCCTGTGGGAATCCACATATGAAAGTGGCCAAATCAATCAGATTCCACGTGATCTGTGTTGTTTACAATGCCTTATAAAAGTCAGATATGAGTGACATAGGAGCAAAAACAATCAGATTCAGGTCACTTTTGCCTGCAGCCTAACTCTCTCCCTCTTATGATGGAATAAGATCTGCCTGGTTTTGGCTGTCATTATAATTCCTACTGTTGTGAGTCTAGAATACTTGGCATAGTGGCATAAATGGCATAGTTTTTCTGTTCTAATTATCTTACCTTACAATGCACATATAGAGCTTTTAAATGCACATGTGTCAACATTTTTTTTCTTTCTTGTATTATAGAGTGTCACACCTTGTGTCACCCTAAATGCTCACCATGTCTGCCGGCAACCTGTGGACTGCCAGCCGAGTATGCTACTCATTTCTCAGAGGCTCTGTGCAGAGAAAAGGCAAACTCTCCAGCACTGCAGGTCAAAGAGGCCAGTGGGCATGTCCGCCTGGAGGGATGGATGAAGCAACCTAGGTAACCTTTGACCTGGGCCCCCATGACCTCATTGATCATACACTGTTTTTTTTGTTTTGTTTGTTTTTACATCTCAGACAGTAGTGTGAATTTGTTTGTTTACTCGCATAGGAATGGAAAACGAGGTCAGCAGGGCTGGGAGAGGAAATATGTGGTGCTCGATGGAACCAGAGTATCCATCTATGACACTGAGCCCAGAGAAGGTCAGTACTTCTTTATTTTTGTATTTCTGCTTAATTTCTTTATAAGACAGATCTTTAAATGACTATGAGATCAGTGCAGCAGTATCCAATTTAAAAAGCTGGCTTTGCCTTTCTTCTAGATTGTATTAAAGCTGAGGATGAGTTTGAGCTTTGCCTGCCTGATGGAGAGGTGACCGTTCACGGAGCTGTCGGAGCCTCTGAGCTCATCAACACCGCTAAGTCAGGTACCGGATCAATGCAACCTAATCACGCTACACTCGGCCTACTGTCAGATTTCAAGTGTATTATCCTCTCCCCCAGTTTTAAATTGGTTCCTCGTATCCCATCGACACTTCAGATCTCAAAATACAACAAAATGTTGACACCTCTGCTCAGCTGTGAAATTAAGCTGTGAGCAATACAGCCAACAAATCCTTCTTTCTTGATGTGTGTGTGCGCGTGTGTGCATGTACAGACATCCCGTATGTGTTGAAACTGGAGTCACATCCCCACACCACCTGCTGGCCAGGCCAGTCGCTCTTTTTCATGGCTCCTAGCTTCCCTGACAAGCAGCGCTGGGTGGCTGTCCTGGAGTCTGTGGTGGCCGGCAGCCGGGGATCCAGAGACAAAGTTGATGCTGATGCTGTAAGTACCATTTGTGCATAAATTATTAATTTTGCTTGATTAGGTAAACAAATATAAGATTTCCTTTCAGATGGGTATAAAAGATAGCCCAGTGTCTTCTTCAAGACAAACACACTTGTTATGCACATTTCAAATAGTAGCTTTATCCAAGGGTGGCTGTATTGTTTGGTGTGTAAATAGGCATAAATAAATTGAATGCTTCCATTAAACATCAGCCAGTGCCTTCACTTCTTTTTCTCTCCCTCCCTCTTCCTTCTCTCTCTGCATGTTCTCATCATACATGTCTCCTCTCTGTGTGTTTTCATCATCTTTGTTGATGTGACTATACTGTGTGCGTTTTGTATCTCCATTCAACTCGGTCGTGTGGATCATATTATAGGCAGGTGTTTCTAAAAGGCAGAAGAACCTTTCCCCTCTGGTTCAGGTACAGTAAGTAGCTGCACGAACGCTTGGGCTTCAGTCAACCGAACGGCTGAGCATGCAGTGGCTGTACACATCTAAGCTAATGACACTGATGCTGCTCAGTGATCAGTGCAGGTCGACACAGTGACAAGTCACTGAAAATGTTTCATGGCGCTAACTTCTCTGTGAAAACATGAGGGATCAAACAGGCACAGCATTTATAGCAAATAACTGTAAATGTGCATAGTGCATGGATGTGAATAGGCACTGCTGTGCACCTTTGGCCTGGTGTCATATGCTGTCTCCTGCATGAATCTGCAAACACCATGCACTGCTGCAGCCCCACTCACTGAAACATTACAGACACATGAACACTGAAATCTGAGCTTAACTTCCGTCTGCAGGCTTCTGCTGTTGGTGTTTTTATGTGCTTATTGGCATTTTACAATCAGGATCCCGTGAGCTTAAATTCTGCGATAAAGACCCTGGAAAATTATATTAGATTGTCTCTAAATTGCACCTCTTAAAGTATGTACCTTAATTACCCTGTACAGATGTGATACAGATGTGATGACCTGGTCAGTTCACAAATTGAAATCCTAAAAACAAAATGATTTGAATCAGCTTGGATTAATTCTCCTCCTGACGTCTTGGCTGCATTAGAGGCCTTAAGACACATTTCAGAGCAACTCTTTTCTACAATGCTACAGTTTGAAACTAATACATACAAACTTTAATAACACAGTTCTCTGTTTCAGAGTATAGAAAAGCCTTGTGTCTCTTGAGAATAAAAACGTTAAAAGTTTTGTGCGTCTTGATTCCACAATGTTGCGTACTTGAGAGTAGCAGCTAAAATAAAAGAAGTGTTATCTCTAAAGCTCGGAACAGTATCTGCACTGTTGGAAACACAACATTGTCCAAAAACTTCATGTTTAATATTTACCCATATATTATATTGTATACAATTGTAGTCTCACTTCGTTTAACCTAACTGGTCTGTTTCACACTGCACCAAGTATAAAAGGGTCATGCACACTGTATGGCCTGGTAGGAACAGCACCCATACTGTAACTATTTCAGTGCTGATAATGAATTAACACTAGACACTACCAGTGGTAATCCACAAGTTTCTATGAATTTAACTACCTAACATAACTGTTGTTGATTTTCATTGGTGTTTTTTTCTATAGCTGAACAGAAAACAATTCGACAGCGTTCAATAAACTGAAGGAATTTAGTCTAAAGCCCTTAGTATCAGACACTGTTAAGTACTCAAACAGCCTGCATCTTGTACCTGGTCAATTTGTAGTCTTGTTGACATACTGTTTGATATGTAAGAATTACATTTGAAAAATGTGTTTGTTTTTTTGGCTACATATAAATATAACATATTGTATTGGTGGTGGATTCAGTCATTCAGATTTCAGAAGTCTCTGCGTTTAAGTTGGTATCAGCTCTCTCTGGCAGTCCTCTGTTGCTGGGTATTCTTATTTATTTAGAATCAGTTGATTTGTATAAGATCTGCCTGACCTGCCTCCTCCGTCTGCTCTGTATCTCCTCTCTCCCTCTTTCTGCCTCTTTTTTCAATAGAAACTTCTGGGCAACTCTCTGTTGAAGCTGGAGGGTGATGACCGCCTGGACATCAACTGCACTCTGCCTCTTACTGACCAGGTACAATGACAAAAACATATACGGTGAACAGTGACATTAATGCGTTGCCTGTTTGTTTATGGTTTTTTTTTTTCACTTGATCACTTTCTCAGATTGTGTTGGTTGGCTCAGAGGAGGGTCTGTATGCTCTCAACGTCATAAAGAACTCTTTGACCCACATCCCCGGCCTGACCTCCGTCTTTCAGATCCAGGTCTTGAAGGACCTCGATAAGCTTCTGATGATCACTGGTCAGTAAAAACTTAAACCTGATATTTTGCCTTATCTATTTTTTGGAGCGCAGCCCTACTGTCTGGTCTATAGGATTTGGGAGATATGGTCTTAATAAATCAGATAATACCTGCATGTTATCTCGCCTTGTTAAAGACTTCCTTGTAAAATATATATATTTATTATTTTTTGTTGTCTGAAGTGAATCAGAGATTTCTTGTGTTTCTGATTCCTCATCATGTGTTTGATGTGACCTACAGGAGAGGACAGGGCCTTGTGTCTGGTGGAGATCAAGAAGGTCAAACAGTCTTTGTCTCAGTCCCACCTCCCCGCTCCACCTGACCTGAACCCCTTCATCTTTGAGACAGTCAAGGGATGCCACCTCTTTTCCTCTGGAAAGGTGTGTTAGTTTTTTTTTTTTACCTTAAACAGAGAAAAGTACCTCTGAGTAGACTCCTTTTAGTCAGTTAATGAGCTGTGTATAACACTAATAGCGTAGCAGTGTGCTGTCTGATTGCAGGTATTTACTGCTGGCCTGATTGCTGTCTTGTTCTTTCTTTACAGATAGATAATGGCATCTGTATCTGTGCTGCTATGCCGAACAAGATCACAATCCTGAGACACAATGAAAGCCTGAACAAGTTCTGCATCAGAAAGGTAAATGGGGCCTTAAAGATGGATATATAGGAGACCGTTTCATGAAGATAGTACATGCTTTGTTTTTCTTCAGGGAGACATAGAATGTTTCTTTTTTTTATTTGCAGGAGATCGAGACATCCGAGCCCTGCAGCTGTATCCACTTCACTGGATACAGTATTATTATCGGCACCAACAAGTTCTATGAGATTGAGATGAAGCAGTATGTACTGGAAGGTAGGTCTACCAAGACTGTGATGTATTGATGGTAGGCATCACCAAACAAATCCCGTTTTGATATAACTTTTAAAAAGTAAAAAAATACTGTCATCCAGATGGTGTTCTTAAAAGTCTGCACCATTTGAGTTTCTGTGACTGTGAGCTTCAAATGTTCACACCTGGAAGAGCTCACTAATGCTGATTTGATTTCTGTCCACAGAGTTCCTTGATAAAAACGATGTGACGCTAGCTTCAGCTGTCTTTGCCGCGTCCTCCCACAGCTTCCCTATCTCCATCATCCAGGTCACCACGGCTCCACAGAAAGACGAATACCTGCTCTGTTTCCATGGTAGACCCAGATTTTTCATCTGCACATGTATAGAAAGGAAAATGTGCATTTATTCCAATAGTGGATAGAGTTATAAATAGCGTTTTCTTACAGAGTTTGGTGTGTTTGTGGACGCATATGGCCGCAGGAGTAGAAGTGATGACATCAAATGGAGCCGCCTGCCTCTTTCATTTGGTAAGTGTAAATCTTTTGTTTTCATTCATCACTTCAACATTTTTTCTCTTTAATTGGTAAATATACGGTTAATAACATTACCTTTTTTTTTCATTTCAGCCTATAGAGAACCATACCTATTTGTGACCTATTTCAACTCTCTGGACGTTATTGAAATTCTGGGACATGCTGCTCTTGGGTAAGGTCGCCTTCTGCTCATTTGTCAGAAGCAGTGCGCCTGTTAGGTTTTATGATAATAAATTGTTTTCTCAGTAAACATCATCATTTTGTATACACCTTTTACATTACTATAACATTTCATATTAGTCACGTTTATGTGTCTAGCACATTTAAAAACAGCCTCAGCTGACCAAAGTGCTTTACTACGAGGCATATTATACCGGATGACAAAAACATAATTCAGTCCTTACAAGCATCATCCACTTTAATCACTGCTGTCTAATGTTTATCTACACAGACCCCATTCATACGCACACCTGGATATTCCCAATCCACGCTACCTTGGCCCAGCCATCTCCTCCGGGGCCATCTACCTGGCTTCTTCCTACCAAAACAAACTGAGGGTCATTTGCTGTAAGGGCAATCTGGTCCAGAGTCAAGAGGGTGTAGGAGACCTGCAGCGGAACGACTCCGGTCGCAGGTGAGAACAAGCACAACGACTGTCTGTCCTCTTCATTATTTATTCACAGAGTTACTCCTAACTCCTATCCAAACATGTCTGTTTTGGTTGTTAGCTGTACACTTTCACTTTCTTATAAGACACACAAATCTTTTACTTTTCAACATTTCTTAATATCTTTGTTATATATTGATTCTTTTTTTGTGATTTGGACTCGCATTCAGATGCTTCTATCTAAAACAAAGGATATTCATTTTATTTTATTGGCAAGGCTGTGGCTTTGTGGTAGAGTTGTTCATCTCTCAATGGGAGTGTCAGGGGTTCGATCCCCAGCTCCTGCAGTCACATGTTGAAGTGTCCTTGGTTGAGACACTGAACCACAAATTGCTCCCGCTGATGTGTCAGCAACGAGTGAATGTGTATGAAATTAATTAGTTAATACTGATAGACACTTAACAAAGCATCCTCACGGCGGGCCTTCACGGACCTGCAGGCTCCAGGGGGCGGGGCTTCACAGACCTGCAGGCTCCAGGCTGCACATTGTTGCACTCACCTCACACGCACAGCTTTGATGAAGTCTGCTATGGTTTACAATGATTTTAGAACAGCTGAGGGGGTTTAACACTTTTTTATCAAGTGATAATCGTCACTTGTAATGTAGTTTTCATTTCATCACATTTTCATCAATTAGATGATGAAGTAATATTATTTATCAAATCGCCAAATAGCGGAGTTTCGTCTCATCATCGTCATAGTTGACTAATTTAAAAAGACCTTCTTCAACCAATATTTTCGTAATTTAATTTCGTTGACGAGATTAACACTGCATCAGTGTGTGAATGTGACCTGCGGTGTAAAAACGGCTTATAGTAGTTAGAAGACTAGAAATGTGTTACACAAGTTTTAGTTAATTTGCCATTTTACCATTTAAAGGCTCTCAGGTTTTCAAAGTACACAGAAAAACAAACAAACCCCACATCCATTCTCAGTCATGATTTGTGACAACGTAGATTCCCATTTTTTATAGTGTTGTACTGTATGTGGAGAACATAAAGGAACAAATAGTTACGTGATAATGTACAGGAGTCGGGTGGTTAATGTACAAATCAACCCAAATATGATTATCCATGACCCTAACACAAAGCAATCTGCTATAACTCACTCAGTACAGTGTTTTTTAAATATAAAAAGATAATAAAATAAAATAACATTAAAGGATTGTTTGTCAAACACAGCATTCAGGTTTAGGTTTCTTGAAATAAGCTTTCTTAGCTGTTATTATACATTAAATGTGTATATTATTATTAAGGGAGAAAAGCAGAATAGGACCACATGAACGATCACAGCCACTGATTGAAAGATTATGCCTCGTATCTCAGTTCACTAAAGAATCCTGCCTATTTTGCATGTTTGTTTTTTTTGTGAGGTTTTTTAAAGCAAAGTCTGTAGAGCTGCAGCATTTCCAGCACTCTTCTCTCCTTTCTCACGTTCACTGGTGTTGTTGAAGGGTCGTTGGGATTAGCAGGCACTGCTGGGCACAGGTCAACATCCACAGGTGAAAATGTGAACATTTTGGCCTTGATCCAGACAGGACAGTAACACCTTCATTTTGCTCTTTACAGGAGGAGGAGTTCATTTTTTATCTGTAGCAAATTCTGAAATATGTTTTCAGAATTCAATTTTTTAAAGATTTTAAAAGCGTCTTGTCAAATGTAGAGAATAAATAATTAAATAAAGACTCACTTTCTGCTTTTATGTTGTGAGAATGATGTCTTTATTTATGAAGCTCACTGATAGCAGAACTCTCTGCAAACCTATGACTGCTTTGCTCTTCAGTAGCTACAGCTGCTGAACCTGTTCTCACTTAGAAAAACTATGTCCAGTTGATGGTTAGACATCTTCAACATACGGATAACTATACCCTTAGATTAGCATACAATTGTGGTTGTTCTCAATCCTCAACACATCTGTCGACTGACCTGGCAGTGCCAAGCAAAGCCCATGACCCAGTTTTTAAAAAATCACTTTTTTTATTGACCATTGCTCCCTGCCCGTCTTTATGCCTCGGTTGCCCCCTTACAGCCCCAACAAGCGTGGGCCTCCCTCCTACAATGAGCACATCTCTAAAAGACTGGCAGCCAATCCCATGGTTCATGGAGACCCGGGCACACCTCACCGCTACAGAGAGGCACGCACAGAGTTTCGACAGGACAAGTCCCCGAGCCGTCCGCTGGAGAGAGAGAAGTCTCCAGGCAGGATGCTGGAGAGTCGGATAGTTGGGTCTCCGGGAAGGGCCATGGCTGACCCCCGGTTAGAGCGTTCCCCAGGAAGGGCCATGGCAGACCCTCGCATGGACCGCTCCCCTGGACGAATGATGGAGGTTCACAGGGAGAGATCCCCCGGACGATATGAAGAGCGCCAAAGACTTCATACTGGCTCTGGTCGCACGCCCATAAACCCTGTCAACAAGGTCAGTCATCGCCTTTGTTTACTCTGAACTACTCTACAAGATTACAATTATTGTCACAAGAACTTTTTATCAGATGGTCCAACATTTTGGCCCAGACTGAACAACTGGTGGATTGCATTTACTAATTAGCAAATGTAAACATGCTCACAGGATAAACTCAGCTGGCCTGTTTATTTCTACTTAAATTAGCATGTTAGCATTGTCACTGTTTGCAAGTGCTTAAAAATGCCTTCACACTCAGAGTCCTGCTTTATTTATTCTGTGTATTAGTTCTGATTTTCATTAAACATATTTCATCATTTTGACAATCAAGCTGCCAGTTGATACATGCTTTTGAATAAATCTGACCTTTTTTTTTACTTGATCCTCCAGGTTTGGGATCAATCATCTGTTTGAGAGTCAGCTGAGTCACATCCTGGGAAAGGGAAAAAGATGGAGCAGAAAAACCAGTGAGAAGGTCACCTACTCATGATGAAACACTGCCACACATCAGTTTTGTCTGACAAACCCACACGGAGGAAAAACAATGTAGCAGTCACAGCAAAGAGAGAAATAAATTGATGTCATTAGAGTCAGGTTATTTTTCTCATTGAACCAATCCGAGTCAATAAAGGTCAACAAAATGCCATATTTAAAAACTTTGAGCAGGGTTTTTTGCCATGTATTTAAGGATGTAGATGGGATTAGATAAGACTTTTTTCCAAAGTGAAATATGGGATAGGAGTTCTCAACTTGAGACTGTCCTCAGTGGGTTTTGCTAGGTTTAAGATAACTCCAGACAGTAGTGACTATGATAGAAAAGCACAGCCGTAGCAACCTTATCTTACAAGTTGATGCCTAAATATTTACAAAGTGAGTCACAAGCGAAGAGAGGTTCACTCGAAATAGTATTAATACATCCAGCCTTGTTTCATGCTCTGTACACATTAGCTACAGATCAGGGCAGGAGAGTTCTGTACATCTAAAAGCATTTCTGGCTCCAGCCATGCGCCGACATGTCAACACACAATCATTACCAGCTGATTACAATCATTCTCCACTGATATCTCAGTCTGAGGTTTGTTATTGAGACCTGACCTGGCTGGAGCACAAATACATTTAAATAATATTGAAGTACATGAGCCCTGTCTGCCCTGTTGAACCACACACCCGATGATTGTCCGCCCTGGGATAGGTTGACACTAAAAAGAAAAGAAAAAAGAAGAAAAAAAAAAGATGCACTACCCACAATCCTCAGCAGGACTTTCTAATCCTTCAGAACGTTATCTGACTGTAAATAGACGAGACATAATTTTATATATATTGAGAAGGAATTTCAAGGCTGGATAAGCCATGTCTATTTTTGTTAAAGAAAAAAAAGTGATTACGTGTCCTCTCGAATGTCGGATAAATATTCTTTTAACATGTTCAAACATTCTTTATCAAGTGAGTGATTGTATCTGGATCCTACTCGTGTATGCACTTCCATCCGTCTAAGGCCAAACCTCAGTGCTGAACTAAATGACCAGAGAAAAAAAAGAATCATGTTTGAAGGTTACACGTAGTAATTGAGCATTTCTTTTTGTACAATGTCCCCTAATATTGTATATAGCCCAAAATTGTGCAAGGTGAAGATGAAAATAATCTTTGTTTTTATTCCTGATTCGTAAACGGCATGGATATGTATATCTGAAATGAAATGGAGTGTTGTCTTCCGCTTCAGCCTAATCTGGGTTATATTTTTAGTCCACCATCTAACAGCGAAGCACGTGAATAACATCTCCTTCCTTTTAACTCTTACAAATTTGCACAGCAAGTTCCTATGAGTATAGTTACACTCTTTCTTTTACCCAGGCATTCTTGGCATGTTCCAACAGCCAGTCCAACCGTAAAAGTTGCTTAAGTCAGTCCAAATATATCTTTACTTTCACTGTCAACATGCCAACAACTGAAATAGTGGATGATATGTATATACATCATCTTCTGATCAACGGAATTAAAACATTTTGGTGGTTTTTAGTCATGTTTTTTCTGATGACACATGCTGAGCGTGTCTCTTAACAGTTGTATGCTCAATAGAGGGTCAAGGACTTCTTCGACATCGAGGGTTAATTTAAGACATAAATATATCTTCCTGAATGTATTCAAGCCAAGAAGATGGAGCTGTTTAATTAATCTATTGAAAGCACTCAGTGCTACAGATTGCACAAGTTTCCCACTGGTCTCTATAAGATTCTATAAAAAAAGGATTTCTCATCTTCAAATTTTATTTTTTTATTCTTTTTAACTTGATTTTTCTGTTCACATGATCCAGAATCATAATGCTGTAACGCTGGATATGATATTGATGTCTGCTAACAAATGTTTTATTAGCGTTCCCTGTAGAGATTTTTGTCACAGAATATTAAATATTATAACCATTGTCTTTCACTTCTCCTTATGTTGTGATTTTTTTTTTTCCCTCTGATGCAGCTCTTACATTATGTAGTGATTTATAAATGACAGACCACAACAGAGTCCTGGTCTTCTGTGAAGCCTTTTCCTCCCCAATATGCTTTCTCCTCACTGCTCACACTTGAGGCCATTTCTGACCATTTGTCCATGTCCATTGTGTTCGAGGCGGATAGTCTATTTTTAGGCGTCTGATCCCTGTGCTGAGCCGATGCGACGATGGCCTGCCATTCCAGTCACGGTAGCTGCAGCGAGCTGGGAGGAGCTGATGGAGAAGAAGAGTTTTCAACAATAGCCTCTGCTCTGTTTGGTTAACAATAACTCTTCTAAATCTGACCTCCTTGTACACACTGTGAGATGACACCGCTGACATCTGCTGTTCGTTCATCAACAAGCATTTTATTTGTCAGTGTGCGCAGAGGGGCTTTCAGCACTGCTCTTTATATAGACCACCCAGCCTCGCCTCACCTTCTCACCCCGGCCCATTCGCCTCATTATCACAGACTGTCACTTTTCTTGACCTGAGAGCCACAAGTGATATAGGATGACCTGTTAATGTTGCAGAGACATGGCACATTGTAAGGACGTGTTCACTGTCAGCACAGTTCCACTTCAGTATGTCACACCTACTGCCGCTAACAACTTGGAGCTCAGTTTCACGAGCTCTTAAAAGCTCAACACCAGGATAGAGTGCAAAGACTTCTTTTAAAATGACTCCCACCTTAACCTGTATCCTGTTTTAATTCTTTTGTTTTTTTAAATACGGTAATCAAGAGACTGAACATTTTTTCTTTGTTAGTTTGTTTAATGGACAGAATTAACAATTAGAGCCAAGGTAAAGAAGAGGACAAGAGGAGGAGGGAGCCTTTGATTCATTGGCATACACATTAGCAAGTGATTTACTTTGAGGAATAAATGAAGTCACATAAATAGTGTGTATTACACATGCTGTGCAACATTACACTACATTGTTCTATGATCTTATAGGTGAAAGGACAATGGCACCAACCATGTTAAGAAGCATGACAGAAATGCGACTAAGGCTGGTAGTAACGCAGTCCTGACAGATCAATAAATTTAACTCAATGAGCCAGTGGTTTAAACCAAACCTATGCTATCTCTAAATGTCTGGAGTCAATGAGAATAGAATAGAAAATACTTCAATGTCTGCTTTTTGCATGAAAAGGCAGAACTGTCTTTTTGACTTGAGTGTGCAAATGTACCCATAGCACATTTACACATTGTGGGACATTTAAAAATAACTTTAAACACGCTCTACCTTCGCACCGGAAACAAAGGTTGAAAATTTGGATGCAGTTGATGACTGCTGGTCAAATTATATTTTCCCACTTTCTTCCCATGGTGATGGGCTTGTGATTGTACTGCTTCATTTAAACACTTTGGGAACAATGATTGGTATCCAGATTGAATATAATGTAGACACTCTCTCTCTCTCTCTCTCTCTCTCTCTCTCTCTCTCTCTCTCTCTCTCTCTCTCTCTCTCTCCCTCCCTCCCCAATTTCCTACTCTATCCACTGGACTATCTCTAAAAAGCCCAAAAATAAAAATAAACCTTTTTTTAAATTCCTTAGGATTCTGGCAATGAGAGCTGGGTATCCCAAACTTTGAGACCCTACTCATCAAGCTGACATCTTTCTTATTTTGACCCGTCATCTGCATTAAAAGTATGTACTTTTATATTTATATATATATAAACTATAATATTTTTTTAACTTTTTTTTTTACATTTTTAGTTTCAGTTCTACATAATTATTTTCACCTACATCAACACTATTACGACACATAGTTTAAATGTTATTTGTTGTACTTATCAGTATTCACGCCCTTTGGATGCTTGAAAAACAAAATTGACTTTACTGCATTATCCATAACAAACACAATAAAAGGGTTATGATTATCAGATTAAAATAAAACACATGACAGAATGAGTCAAAGCGGGATTTCTGCTTGTTTAAGAAATGCTCACTGCAGTAGTTCAAGTGTCCAATAACGAGCATGCTGAAAGAAAACCTGCATACTAAGAACAAATCTGTGGAATCATCTCATCTGTGTTGGACATTTTGCTCTACCTGGGCAGCACACATTGCATTTGAAACGTTCCTAGAGTTCGTCTTGTGTCTTTAGACAGAGGGGAGTTCAGAGCGACAAAGTGATTTAACCTTCAGTCTGCTCTTGATATACTAAACCAGTTATTCCAATCTCATTGTCCCACGTAGATCGTGACAACACGGTGCCACTGGCTACCTTAGAGGGGAGGGGAAGGGGGGGTGGTTGTATGTTGTTTTTTTGTGAGCATGTAATGCTGTTCAGCTGTATGCAGCATCATTTACCTGTCACTTCCTAAAGAGGACATAGTTTATAAATATCATCCAGTGAAGCTGAGGGTTGGGGCTACAAAAGGATACCCACAATCTCCCCATTGTTCACTGGCATTGTTGGTCGGACCTCCCAGCTGCTCAGCCATGGTAAGTCAATGTTTGATGATGCAAGGACAGAGAAATGGCAGGACTACTTTGGCTTTAAGGATGTCAGTACAATAGTTTAGCATGTGTATGTGTGATGTATATTAATATAACTTAAAGCTACAGATATTAAGTTTTTTCCAATGAAGTTAGACATTTTCTGAGAAAATGTAACTGCTGATTAAGATAATTACCAGATTGAAAACCCCCTTAAATACATGGGAAGTAGTTTGATATTGCAAAGTTTAAATTTTGCCTGTCTTTTTAGAGGCGACTGCATGTTGCTATGCCATCTAGACTGATTTATTGTATGCTTTCAAATAAAAATCACTGCCATCATATGGCTTTGGCAGTCATCTCATTTTTGCAGGTTAATGTCTGAGCACTGTGTTCCATTTATCCATCTGTTAGAGGTTTTGTGTTTATATTTTCCCTTTAGTAAACAATCTATCCTTTATATTATTGTCTCCTGACATATACCTTGATTTAAACTGGCATGCTGTCTCATCTCTTCTCCAAAAGGCCCCCAAGAAAGCCAAGAAGAGGACAGCAGAGGGAGCCAACTCCAATGTTTTCTCCATGTTTGAGCAGGCTCAGATCCAGGAATTCAAAGAGGTGAAAGCTACTTAAATACATTTTGATTTTACTTATTACAATTTGCTAAAAATATCGTTATAAGAGCATCACAATCGCACATCAATATGGATGTCGGCACACTTTGTGTCGTGTTTTGATTTGAATTTTCCATCTCTAAAATACACACCTACAGAGGTCTTTTTATTCCCTTCCCTCCGCGGGTTCCTTTGTCTTTCTGTTTCCATTGTTCATGGTTGGAGTATGCCCACCTGTCTATTTTCCTTTCCTTGGATTGGCAGCAGATCGTGCTAGTGGTATGCTGGTATGACAGTCAGTGGTGCCCAGACATCCAGACTGTGTCAGCAGTGATTAGGCTGCAGATAAACTGCTGGGCATGCACTGGATGCCGGGCTAAACCCTGGGGGCTCACAGGTTATAAATACTTAACTGTGTTCACCAATAACATGGAACACAAAATATTTAAGAGGAGAAAGAGAAAACTGCTTGATTGATCTGAGTTCTACTTTTGTATTTGCTACTACATCTTCATCTTTTTCATGCTGAGAGACTCACTGTTATATACTGTCCTGTACTCTGTCCTCAGGCCTTCACTATCATGGACCAGAACAGAGATGGCTTCATCGACAAGAATGATCTGAGGGACACTTTTGCTGCTCTAGGTATGCTGATATCATTCATATTTGTTTTTATTTTGCTTTTAGTGTTGTCAATGAAAGAACAGGTCCTCCATCAACAAGATTCAAAATCAACGATTTTCTATATTCTCTTCAACCTGTTTGATTAATTTGTGCCATATGTTTTTTTATATTTATTGTCCAATAGGGCGTCTGAATGTGAAACAGGAGGAGATTGATGAGATGCTTAAAGAAGCTCCTGGCCCAGTCAACTTCACAGTCTTCCTCACCATGTTCGGTGAGAAGCTGAAAGGTAAGGATGAAAATTAAAATCATGACATTTTAAGGACTACGATATATTTGGAGAACTGTATGAACCGTTCAAACATGTGTAGGTGCTGATCCAGAGGAGACAATCCTCAACGCGTTTAAAGTCTTCGACCCTGAGGCGAAAGGAGTGCTGAGGAAGGACTAGTAAGTGACTCAACACATTACTCTGATCATAAAAAAACATTTTTCAAAATGCAAATTCATTTGAGTGATAAGCTGTAACTCACAATTTTATGACCGAGTCTTCCTGCAATCATTCATCCCAGAACAATGGCAAAACAAGTGGAATCATAATAAATTGCACAATTTTCTTCCATTGTGAACACAAGCTTTGAGATCTCATGTTTCTGTCTTTTTCCTGTTCAGCGTGACACAGATGCTAACGACACAAGCAGACCGATTCTCGCCTGAAGAGGTACATTTTAATCGTTCATAATAATTATCCAAACGATGTGTGACAGCTTTGTTTGTGTTGGGTTGATTGCGAAGACCAAAAAAGAAAAAAAGAGGAAATCTCCATGACGATTGTTTACATCCACGTCAGAATCATTTTCACACCAAAAAAACAAAAGCATCCTCAGTGAATCATTAAATCTTAGTGTGCACAATGTGATATGTTTTTAAGCACTAAATCTTTTTTTTAAAAAGTTGTTTTTTGTTGGTTAGATGGAGCAGATGTTCACTGCCTTCCCCCCAGATGTGGCAGGGAACCTGGACTACAAGAACCTGGTTCATATCATTACCCATGGAGAGGAGAAGGACCAGGAGTAAACCTTCCTGAAAAACATGTTCATCAGATAGAAAGTCACTTGTCTGTACAGGGCTTGAAAGTGCCATTGAAGGGCTGTGAGTGTGTGTCACATGCTTTATATTGGCTGCATTTGAAAGCCCCAAAAATCAGACAATCAACACTCAAAACCATTACTTTTACAGAAACAGTCCATTTGTTATGGCAGTGCATGTTTGTCTAATAAAAGTGTGCAAAAACAGAAACCAACCTGCGTTTCCTTCCATCTCTGAGTTTTTAAAACTCTGGAATTATAAAGGCTTTCCAAAGTGTACAGTCTGAGTCAATGCAAATTTCAGTTGTGTTGCTGAGAGCGGTGGATCATCAGATTACTTCTTGAACACATGTTTATACCAGCTAGTCCTGTGAGTCCATGTTAGGTAGTGAATGTGCAGTTGGAGGGTCTTTAAAATCCCCAAGAGATTCATCCAAAGCACATGTGCAGCATTGTCTGTGAGAGTGCCTTTGTGTATTTGTGTGCACGTGAAAATGTTTGGCTACTGAAACAGAGGACCTCAGTCAGACAAAGCCCTGTTGTTATTTTAGTTCTCTGATGATGTGATGAGGGGGATACTATGCTGAGGTGTTTGGATGTCAGTCACACAATAGGATGCCACCGAGTGATCCTTTCAACCCTCACCGAGACCACTTGCCAATCCTTGGTGGAGTAATGAGGGAGGGGTCGGAGTGAAAATCTCTGAGACATGCAGGGAGTGGTGAGGGATAACTGCTTGGATTAAGTTACTTTTGAGCTCATTTTTATGTTTCCTGTTTTAACCATCTCTGAGAGACACTGCAGATGGAAAGTAACGTGAGCTATTGGAAACACGTTATCCCTTTCACAGTAGTTGTACCTAAAGCACAGCCAACGACTATGTCAACAGTGTATGAAAAAAAACCATGAAAGATCATTTTTAGTGACAACCCAACAGAGAATAATCACCAAACTCTACTTTAAAAATCTGTTAATAACATAAACTTGAGCTTGGTATGGAGTCCCTCTTCCCACAAAAAGCCCAAAATCAAATTGTTGATACCAACATGTTTTCATAAAACATTTGGCTTTTCCAGATATCTCAGAAAAATCACTAACTTAACTATCTTCTGATAGTGCCAAACTGTGGGCTAAATTAGCCTAAAAAGGCCCCATGCTTTGTACATTTAAAGAAGTGGGATCATTTGACTATTAATGCTGTAGTAAATGAATGGCTCTTCATACTTGTTTACACTCATTAGACTGGATGTGTGGCTTCTTGGGCCTGTTCCTTTTTTTTTTTTTTTTTTTTTTTTAATGTTTTTTTTTGTTTGACTTGAAATTATTGTCAGTATGGGAGGATGTTTTTTTTTTACACAGATGTCGTTTTGTATTAATCTGTAGTTTTATTTGAGTTTTGATCATAACTGAGAAGACCATTGTTTTTTTAAAGCACATCTGTATTTCTACGATTACTAAGATGTGAGTAAACAGTGAAACAAACATTTACAAAAGGGGCTGGCAGTTTAGCTCAACGAGAACATGAAAAGCTGTTACACAAATGAACAGTAGCCCATAATGAATCTGAGCACATGTACACATTCATACATGAGCACCCCCTAGCGGCCACTGAGAAAATGAGATGAAATAAATCAAATGAGCAACCAAAAATGATCAATACAATTTCAATGTGAAAAATTAATGAATACAATGCAAGAAAACGTATAAATAATCATGCAGCAATATTAAATTGATTGCTCATACCCAAATCCAGCTAATAACACGTGAAACACATAAAACACAAATCCCTGCAGGAATATTAAAGTAGTATTACACCAATTATTGATCCCTGGAAGCATTGAACAGTCTGCTGAAGCTGCAATTAAATCTCCCACAGAGGTTGATATTGAGATTTAATACAGCTCTAATAAGCTCTGTGTGTGTGTGTGTGTGTGTGTGTGTGTGTGTGTGTGTGTGTGTGTGTGTGTGTGTGTGTGTGTGTGTGTGTGTGTGTGTGTGTGTGTGTGTGTGTGTGTGTGTGTGTGTGTGTGTGTGTGTGTGTGTGTGTGTGTGTGTGTGAGTGAGTGAGAGTGTGTGTGAGAGTGTGTGATTTAAAAAAGCCTTGAAACTAAATTTAGATAATTCTTTTTTCTGTTTCTTTTTACCAAATTTTGTCTTCACATAATATCAAAAGGCTGTTCTTCCAGCAGAGGTCTTTGTCTGTATCTCTTCTGGCCAGTAAATTAATCTGTTCTTTTTTTCAGTGAAGGTTTATTGAAAAATTGCAACAGAACTAGATTAACCAGAATACTTGTCAGTGAAGCCATTTCCAAAGCCTGCTACTACTCATTACCAGTAACCTGTACAAGCAGAAGACCTCATCTTTAAACTGCTCCTGTGCTTATCTCTAACTAGATTTGGTGATGTGCATGGCCTTATTTCCTTATTTCTATCTTGGACCTCACACTCCTCACTTTAATGGGGGATGGTGTTCACCCTTCTGCAGCAATTTCTTATTCTCTAATCCATGCCTCCTTCCCTTGCAGGAAGAGTTTGTTGGCAATCCCAGTAACTTGCCTTTTTAGGAAGCCATATCTCCTCTGCTGTGTTTTTCAGATTCTTGTATTCTCCCTGCATTACAGAACTTACAATTCTACAAGTACTTCTAAAATGAGTCTGTGTGGCTGTTGTTATAACCAAGATGCTAGATGCCTGTGTCTTCTGGCTGATCAGGTCATTGAATTCTGTTTCCTCAGGTATTTTTATTTATTTTTAACAGATGCCTTTGTTTTCTGGAAGAAGGCCTTGTTGGCCTAGCAGAGGAATTTGCAACAGTGTTTTTCTCCTGAACATCTCCACAGGGTCCTTTGTAGTTTCAGGAACACTGTTTGTGCCTTCGTGGCCAATCAAGTCATCCATCCTTTGTAACAGGGAGACAAATAACACTATATTGTTACATGACATTTCTCTGCTAACCTTGAGAATTAGCAGAATCTGAAACTATGCCTTGATCATATCAGTGCATGCTCTAGTCCAGCAGGGAGTCAGGTTATTACTCAGAAGATCCACAAAGAGGGGTGACAACGACTCTGTCACCAAGTCTAAGACAAGCTAACAATGTGCTCATTCAGTTTTTATTCCTAACTAGTAACTTTGTCTTTGAATCATTTTCTCACCACATGCAGATTAGCTTCTCAGTTTTAGTATGCACATGGTAACCTTACATGCAAGTGCAAAGAGCCTGTCCTGGCTAATTCGAGGCTGCATCAAATTATTTGGAGAAATAATAGCTGCAATATGACAAGATAGGACTAAGGAGGCAGAACAGAAAAGACAGCCTACGAGGTAAGAAATGAGTACAATTGAATATCATCATACGAAATGATAATAGCGCAATAAATAGAAAACTGCACATTGTAAAACCTTTGATTGTATGAATGTTTGTGTGAACATATATGTCAAGAAATATCAATTCCTGTCTTGCAAGTTTCCTGAAATTGGATAGCAAAATGACATTGGCTGATGAGATTAACTGCAATGATTAAAGTTAAAAAGTAAATACTGCAACGTGTATTCCCCTTCAAGGTATAGTATGTTATAATGACAATCAGAGATAAATTCATGTAAATATTTATTGTACCTATTATTGAAACCTTACTTATATTCCTATTCTATTTGATTAATATTTTTATTACTATATTTCTACTGCTATATTGTATATTTTGGAGCAACTGTAACGACCGAATTTCCCTCTGGGATTAATAAAGTATTTCTGATTCTGAAAATAAAAAAATCGAAATTATGCAGTTAGTTTGGTAATTTTACTGCAAACCTCATTTCCTGTGTCCTCGTTTTGGACATTGGAGTTATCACTGGCCCATTGCAAAAAAAAGAAAAAACTAATTTACGGTAGTTTTCTTATTAAAATTACAAAAATGTATTTAGTGAAACGCTCTTATTTTTAATGAATTGCATCGCTTTCATGCTTCATGTTATTATTATTTGTTTGTTTCACGTAATATGTTTCGTTAAAAAGAGTTTGAAAAATAATATAAGATTCAAGATTCCGTTTATTTGTCATTTTTCTCATAGGATATATCTGCAAGAAAAACATGTTACATAAATACCTATACCTAAAAATCTACTAAGGAATAAATTCAATAAAAAGTACAGTAATAAATTAATAACTTAAAAGATTACACACAGGTCTGCCATTAACCTGCATATTATTTCTGTGATGAGGTAGATGTCCAAATCAAATCTATTTCAGTCAATGATTAAGCAGCCATCTAAAATGTTTGAAAAAAAGAAAAGGAAAAGGGCGCAGTACCACTCTCCGCCGCTAGATGTCGCTGGTCCCTGTGTGTCGGTGCTGGGGGCAGGCAGGGGGCTGGATGTGGGCTGCAGGAGACTCCAGGGGGGCAGTACTAGGGTATGTGTGTGATTGTGAGTGTGGTTAAAGCTCGCCGAGCAGCAGGAACTCAGAAACTTCACTGTGTTCAACTCAACGAGGGAGATTTCTGACCGGAGATTTTGACGGTTCAGGAGCCGACTCGGCTGCTTTCAGTCCAGCTGTGATCGACGGAGGAGGACCCGGTCCCCGGTTCTCAGCATTGGAACGATTTCCGGCCAACATGGATGATTTAGGTAAGTTCACCCGCCCTGAACGCAACATTTACACAGCGCGGGTGTGTTTGTGGTGTTAGCGTGAACACTTAACGCTAGTGTTAAAGCTGTATTTTTTTTTTTTTTACCAAACGAAATGTTTTAAAGCAGGTTTTTCCGATAACAGTTGTCTATTTGAGTTTGTAATGTCAAGGTAAGGCTAAGTTATTCAGGTTCAGATGAGCACAGCGCTATGTAACGTTCAAAGAAGGGCCCGGCATGCTGGCTTAAAGAAGCACTGGCATCGGCTGTGTTGTGATAATTAGCCTTACTGACCTGTGTGTTAGCTGTTGTGTGTTTAGTAAAAATCGTGTCATGGAGACTGAGAGCTCTGGCTGGTTTATTGTCGGAGTATTCAGGCGAGTACAATTCCTCCACATCTCTTAAACAGACATGCCAGGCAGCTGCAAGGCTCCTTTAACTTCCTTATTCTACTACCCTCCAGTCACTAATACATTAATTGACTTTTGATGAAGCACTGGCCTATTGAGTCCTACCTGCAGATTGCCAGGTTGCTTTTTTGGCATAACATAATCAATATAGAGAGAGTGATCCCATTGAATGATCATTACCTCTGTAGCCCATTTAACACACCAGTTTAAACTTGAATTCAGCTGTGGTTTCAGCTGTGTGTTGCTGAATTTGCTCACAAATACGTTACTAGATGAAACCTGGAGGCCCGTCTATAAGATGAGCTTCACACAGTGAATTATGGCACATTTGGTGGCAGGAGAAAAAGTATAGCCTGGGGTTAGGTTATAGTGACAGGGAGGGTGTGCAGAGTTCAGCATTATGTTCCCCCATGCACAGTATATCCTGGTTGTCCAGATTTTCTTGTTTAAATTCTTGCAATGAGCCACACACTCTCTTTTCTTGTTTGAGCCTGGCACTGTGTGAAGTGGATATAATAAGACCGCCACACACCTTGCGGGATCTTTCACAAGTTTATTTCAATGGGGAAGAATCATTTATGTAGCAGCTATCGAGACCTCCTTCTGCTTTGTAGAAGTGTGCTGCCTAATTAAAAACAGAGGGAAGCCACTGGAGTAATGGAGCTCACACAATGCCATCAGGATCAGAGGATTTTCTTGTAATCATTTTACAAGCATGGACTGGCCAGTTTGTGTTTACAAGGCTTTGAATTTTAACCTGACAACTGTAAGGTTAAGTTTAGCTCCACATCCATGAAGGAGTCAGGTTCATTGGCTGCTAAAAAAAAACACCCAACTGCATTTGCAAAGTGAAAGACGTTAAATCTCCTGCAAAAGCCATCAAGAAAAGTATTACCACCCTCTGTGAGCTGCAGGTGGACTTGCAACCAGAGATACAACTTTGTAATAACATATTGTTCCCATTCAGAGTTGAGTAATGCTGTTAACACTTGCTGGGTTTTTTTTGCACATTTGTGTTGCTTAAAAAATAGACTTTGGTGCAGCAAAACATCTGGATATATGTAGATTTTGCCAAAAACCTAGTTCTCTGGTTGTTATCATGGTGGTGAAAGTGAGACTGCGCTAAGAATATGGGTCATTCTATATCCAGTCAATATTTATGGATACCTTCTCAGCTTACATAGGTTAAGGGCTTTCCTTAAAGTAGCTGCTTAAAAAAGAGTGTTACACAACCCTGTGTGATTATCATGTCTCAGGGTTGTAAATTCTGTCATCGTTTTAGCAGAGACCTGTACAAACATGTCACTTAAACTAAGAGAATGTCAAATGCCATCGTTTTCCAAGTCTGTATGCTTTCCACGTATTGGATTGTAGCCACAGAGGGAAAAGTGTATGCGATCAATCCACAAAATAAATGTTCTGAAGTTTTGAAAGTGGGTTTTAATGCAGTTGTGGATCAAAGGAAGCCCCTTCCAAAAAAAGTTGAGAGAGTTGAGAGAGCAGCGAGTCATCCACCTCAGATTTCAGAGAGGACAACAAAGCCTGGATGTATTTTTAGCACAAGTATTTCATCTCGAGTGCGGCCAGTGGCACCTCAAAAACCCTCAACCAACCCTGCAGAGATCTCTTTTCCTATATCTCCAACACTTTCCCGCTCCTTAACTGCCCTTACTGCTGTGACATGAAAGCAGCAGTAGGCCAGCTTCCCCCTTAAACCACTTCTCCTGTGATCTTCACTCACTTTTCTTCATCCTCATGTTCCTTCAGCACCAGGCGTGGGAGCAGAGGGGGCTGCTCACAGTCAGGGCGTTGGGGTGGATCAGATCCCACATGCAGGGGATTGGGCTTCAGCCAAAATTTGTCCTCCTTAAACACTGCACTGCCCCACCTCTCTCTCTCTCTCTCTCTCTCTCTCTCTCTCCCTCTCTCCCTCTGCACTTCCCACCATTCCTGTGGTAAACCACATAGGAAGCTGCAGGCTGCAATCTATCGACAGTTTAAAGCTGTCTGAATTTGCAGAAGAGCAGATTAGGAAGATTCGGATGTGATGCTTGGACGCAATTGCTTAATCTTCAATCATCAGTCTTATTTTTTTTATCTTATTAAGCCAGTAATCAAAGTCAGAACTGGAAACAACACAGGAAAAACTTCTTTATTCTGCAGGACATGGTTGTTTTCTTCTATTTATGCAATCTTGCAGACTTGATGCTGTGGCCTCCTCTGAGGCAAACTTTCCTTGACCTCCCCTCCTCAGCTATCAGCTCTGCCAAGCATTGCTCCTTGCCTCACTGCTCTGGGCCTGCACCAACACGACATGAATGTCAAATAGCCTCCCGAGTTAACTTCTCTTTAGTGACTTTGAGTTGCAGTACCTTCCAATATCTTCCAGTATTTCCATTATCATGTCTGCAAACGGAGTAACTCCTGTTTCCCAGTCTCTGATTTGTTTTACTGTCGCTCTATAGTAGCATCATTTGATGTGAAATGATTCCCCAGAGCAGCGTCAGTACGGCAGCTGTAGTGTTGGAAATGTCACTCATGAAGTAGGCGTGGGTGAAGTAGTTCTTCACCAACTCCAAATGAGATCTGATGTAGCCTAGATATTCCACCCAGTCTAAATTTAGGTCTGTTCATTGTTGATACACCAAAAGAGACGTCAGACAGCTCACATGTGGACATTTGACATTTCCTCCACATGAAAAGGCATAAACGATATCCGAGTCACATTCTATCTGAATAATAACCTTATTGTGTCTGCTAGCTGCACAGCTTTATCAGTCAGTGTTATTTACAGCAATTCTAATCTTTCATCTTCATTTTAATAATAATTCAGCAATGTTGCAGTGACTCTACAGTCCCTGGAGTTCTTTCAATAGTAAATTTGTTCAAGCGTTAAAGAAAACAGTTTAGGATTCATGAAGTCATTTTGTTTTTACAACCCTTTAAAGAAAGTCCAACTTTTGTTGAAGTGAAATCATTAGACTTTCAAATATCTTTCATGACCTTTTGTTAACATGGATATAAATGATTGCTGTGCTCTTCCACAGAGCGACACTGTAATTCAATCATTTGATAATATCTTCGGAAACATGTTCATTTGCAGCCTATAGTTGAGAAGATTGATAGCACTTTCATGTATGCTAAATCTAAACTTACAGCTGGTAACTGGTGAGCTTAGCATAAGGACTACAAAAAGCAGAAATACTCATTATTTATTTAAGCAATAAACAAACCGTAAAAAATACATTTGTGATCTATAGGAGCCATATTCCTCAGCTGGCAGCAGACTCAAAGTTACTGCTCCCTGCCAAGCAATAGTTCAACACATAAATCCCTCATAGCCCAAACATGTCAACTTCACTCTTTAGTTGTTGTATGTATGAAATAAAAACCTAACCAGTGAACCCTGAAACTTCAGAGGTTCTGATAGTTTGATTTTTATTATTTTGGTTGGATACAAGATAGTTGTATCCCCCTGTTTACAATCTTTGCTCTAAGCTTAGTCTGCATTGACCCTGCAAGCTTGCAAGATCTGTATTTACTGACAATCAGATCTGTATTTACTGACAATCAGATCTGTATTTACTGACAATCAGATCTCTTGATCACGGAGAGGCCTACAAACACGGCGTCTTTTAGGCTTCATGGTTATCATCCTACAACAGAGGCTAAAGAAAGCGAGGATTAAAAGCGTACTTGCTGTTTTCTGCTCTTCTCATTAATTTTTACAAGAAATATGCCGCTCTGTTTAACGCCGGAGTTGCAGCTAAAACATAACATCTTTCAAATTCAAACGTGATATACACATGATATGATGAATCATTATTTAAAGTCTAGAAAAGGGGATTATTTTTTTCGGATTTATTGTGCAGTAAACAATATCATACATTTCATTCACCGTCAGACTTTTTTTTTTCTCAGTTCTTCCTGAATTCGCTGGTACAGCTTTTGTTTTTATTTTGGATTATTGAACTTTTTCATCATGTCCATGATCATTGCAAGCCTGGGTCTGATGAACATGGTTTGTCATGTAAGCCCCCTCTCGTGCTGCCAAAGAGTGACATCAAAATCACATTCCTCGCTGTTCAGACTGAAGTCACATTGCAAAAGATCAGACCTGAACGCAATTTGGTTCCACATACATATGAAATTGACTCCAAATCTGATTTAAAAAGATCAGTTTCCATGTTTTCCATGTCAGAGATTTATCATTTGTCATTTTGTTACGTTTTTACTCTCTTGTTACTCCACCAATTTTATTTAAAAAAGTCACTGCTACACTATTTAGAGTGTAAAGTCTGTCCAGATTTGGGAGTTCCCATCACCAACACCCCTTCTTCAGTTAACTTCCTCTTCACTTAAGCTGAAAAGCCTGACACTTTGTCATTGCAAGTGACATCTTCAGTAACCCTCGACTTAATGCAGCAAAAGGCAAGCCTGCACTTGATGATAAGTCTCTTGTGTGTGACACATGCATATAAATCACACAATCAATGTAGCATCTGAAGGCTTGAGAAAATCCCCTGTATCTCCTCCAGCATTTGTCCATCTGTTTGACTTTAAGATGAAAATGCTGTGAGGCTTTTGAGA